CACCCAGGTGCCCCTTTTTTAAATTAAAAACATTTTTTTAATGTTTATTTTTGAGAGAGACAGAGAGTGAGTGGGGGAGGGATGGAGAGAGAGGGAGACACAGAATCTGAAAAGGCTCAAGGCTCTGAGCTGTCAGCACAGAGCCTCATGTGGGGGCTCAAAACCACCAACCGGGAGATCATAACCTGTGCTGAAGTCAGATGCTTAACGGATTGAGCCACCCAGGTGCCCCTGGAGAGGTTTTTTAAAAAGTGAGGCATATTATATATAGTCAGTAGATACAAACAGGAAGAAGTATTTATATTTAAGCAGAATTTTTCTTTAACTTTTCATTATGAACAATTTCAAACTTAGAAAGTAGAATAACAAATTCCCATTTGCACATTATTCAGATTCAACAATTATAAACTCATGATTTATCTTATCTGTAACTTCACTCAACTTCCCATCCTTTCTTCTGATTATTTTCAAGCCAATTCCAGGATTCCTATTGTGTTATCTACAAATATTTATTTCAGTATGAATCTCTAAGATATAAAGAAACCACAATATCACTATCACATCTAAAAACACTAATTCCTTAGTACCAGCTATCCAAATTTTCTCCATTGTCTAATATATTTTTTATTTTTTACTGTTGATTTGTTCAAATCAGAACCCAAACAATGGACACATACAGACTTTTGTTCTGTCTTTTGAATATCTTTTAATTGAAAGATTTTTTTCACCTATCTCCCAGCCCATATTTTTTCCTTGTAATTTTTTTATTGAGGAAATTGGGTCATTTTTCCTTTGGAGTTTCCCATAGTTTAGATATTTCTGATTCCATTCCTATGACTTTTAATAAGTTCCTTTGCTTTCGAATTTTCTGTAGCTGATTCAGGTTTTATTTATTTATTTATTATTTATTTATTTATTTATTTATTTATGTTATTTAGCAAGAATACTTTCTAGATAGTGCAGTGTAATTCTGTCAGGATATACATAATATGTAGTTGTTTCTCTTTTTAAGGGGATTGTTTCTTTTCTTTGAGGGCCCATTGATGATGATTGCTTAGATAATTTCTTTAGGGATTGCAAAATGGCAATGCTCTTATTAGATCATTACTTCTTGTTTTCTGGAGCAATCAGTAAAGAAAAATTTTCCTGTATCAACTATTTGGTTACCCTGACGTAAGGTTCATCCAGAAAAGGCAGGTTGAAGGTTTGATTCCCTTTATCGGCCAGTTTTCAGAATAATCAGTTGGTTTCTTAGGATCCTCTCAAAAAGGTTTTGTTTATTTTTATCATTATGAACCAATGAATATTTAAGAAATTGGATAAACTTCAATCCATTGCATTTTTTATTCTTCCTGATGCTTTAATTGTCCAAAATTGACCAGTTGGAGCTTATTTGCGTGCTCAGACGCTCCTGAGTCCATTGGAAACAACTCTAGAGTAGATGATCTCTTGAGGTTCCCTTCCACCCAGTGTGTCCATGAGAAACACAGTGAAGAAGGTCTGGGTAATAAACTGGTAATCTTCAATAGTGTGACATAATGTGATTTTAAGAGAACCTGCCACAAAGGCACATGTTTTCAATAGCAAGAACTGTTACTTGAAGACACCTGCTTCATAAACCCTTCTATGGCATAGGGATGGTCTTAGGCAAGTTTCATGATAACCAAATGCCCACCTTTTTCTTAGGGATTTGTGATATCACTTATATCAAATGCTAACATGTTTCCTGTCAGAAAAATAAAAATTAAGACCAATAATTAGCTATGAAGAATGCTGGCAAGGGAATTCTTGCCTTGTGTGAGAGACTGGGCTAGAGGAATTTTTCTTCCCTTTTGGAGAGACTAAATTCTGATACTTGTATCAGTTGGATAACTCACCTTCGGTTTACATGAGTGAAAATGGTTGTCATGCTTCAAATGTTTTCAAATAGTTTTATACAGTTTTTATCAGTTAGAGAGCTAGTATTCTGAGACCATCAGTCTGAATCACTAATTGCTTTAATTACCATGATCCAGTAGCAATGACTCAAATGTTTTTGTAACGGGACATTTCTGAGATCTAAAATTAAATAAATGACTAAAGACATTTTACTCATGAATTTGTAAAATTAATGCTATAATAACAAAATTAAATGAACGTTCATTGTAATTCACCTCTTACCCTAAAAGATTTCGCTCGATAGTTTTTAGTGGCACTTAAGTTTCAAGTTGTGCAACAGATAGTCATACTGACTGGATATGGAAAAGACCAGCGACATTCAGGAAATTGGCAGAGATTCTGAGCTCTGCCTGGATTGAGATAAGATAAGATGGTGGAGCTGTGCTGTGAGTATGGGAGTGGTTTTAATTCAAGCCTTGTGGTAGGTTTCCTTCTTCTGGAAGATGATTTGAAATGGAATGCTTACTTACCTGTAGTTATTTCTAGTCACCTTTACCACTCTCTTGGAATACTGTAGTCAAAAGTAATGATGGTAACGACTTACACAAAATGGGTGTTCTAATCAAGAATAGGGTTTTTCAATAGAAATGTATAGCTGTAACAATGTATAGCTGTAACTAATCCTACTGGATTAGTCATAAACCAAGTTGTAACTTGATAGTTACGAGGCTTAAAGGCCGGGACTTTGGAAATTTTGTTTCTGGAAGTAAAGAAGCTGCTTTGGCTCTCAACCTGTCATATTGGCATGAATTTTAGTCTCTGGGCAGGACAGGACCTTGGGAGAATAGAGAAAGAATATAAATTACCTTCCCAAGCTGGAATTTCACATTTATTTATTTATTTATTTATTTATTTATTTATTTAAATTAAAAAAAATTTTTTTTAAATGTCTGAGACAGAGAGAGACATAGCACAAGCAGGGGAGGAGCAGAGAGGGAAACACAGAATCTAAAGCAGGCTTCAGGCTCTGAGCTGTCAGCACAGAGCCCGAGGTGGGGCTCGAACTCATGGAGTGCGAGATCATGACCTGAACCGGAGCGGGATGCTCAACCAACTGAGCCACTCAGGTGCCCTGGAATTTTACTTTTTAAAAGCTGTTTTTCTCCGTGCCTTCATTCACTATTTAAGGAGCACAGAATTATATTTTGCAACACTCACGATTCTTTCAAGTAAGAAGGGCCAAAATGTATAGAAAGTCACAAACTCTCCTCCCAGGAAGAACAGTCAACTGCCTGGGATGCATAGGAACAGCCTGTTGGAAAAAGCAGAGCTAGACTGGATGATCTCTTGAGTTTCCCTTCCACCCAGTGTGTCCATGAAAAACACAGTGAAGAAGGTCTGGGAAATAAACTGGTAATCTTCAATAAAGTGACATAATGTGATTTTAAGAGAACCTGCCACAAAGGCACATGTTTTCAATAGCAAGAACTGTTATTTGAAGACCCCTGCTTCATAAACCCTTCTATGGCATAGGGATGGTCTTAAGCAAGTTTCATGATAACCAAATGCTTAGTCTCTTACTTAAAGAAAAATATGCCTATTTTAAAAAGCTTACTCTCTCGTTTCTCTAGAAGATTTTCAAAATATGCTGCTGCAAAAGCTGGTATGTTTTCTGGTTGCTCCCTCAGAATCTCGCGTGTCAGCCCTTCAAGAAGATTCCCAAATCCTTGTGGAATTCGGTAGTGGGTGTTGGAGAATGGAATCGACATCTCCCTGGAAGGAAATGCCTATCGTACCTAGAGATTCATCAAAGGGCACAGTCTTTAAAATTGTCTGATTTTACTTATATAATCACAACTCTGTCAAATTATTTCTGAGACCCAAATTTTCTGGACTTGAATTCTTCCCCCCCCCCACCCCGTCCACACAACCCCAATCCATCATTTCTTCCAAAGGATTTTGAACTTTCCATTATTAATTAGAACATTATAAATACAGACCCATTTAACAGGCCAAATCATTTTTTTTTACATTAAAAAAACCACACATTTTTCACTATAGCACTAAATACTTTTTCTCTCTGACCGCTTTTTTTGTCTTTAAAAGGTGAGGGTAATTTCTGCTATCCCACAGGAATTCAGAGAAAATGATTGTTAACAATTTATCATAAATCGCGGAGAAGACGCTGTTTGGGATCTAAAATTTAAAAAAAAATGAAGAACTAATGTTGGTTCTAGAAATTACTCTAATGTGTTGCATGAAGAAGTTTAATACTTAGTCTTGCCCTAGTTTCCACTTCTGAAGCATGACCTACAAGGCCTCGAAGCACCTATATACTCTGAAGGGGGGAAGCAGGGACAGTGGGGAGGGAGGGTGGGTGGTGGCCGCAAGGTCAAGACTTTGCAGTCCTAGCGTCCAAAATTTTGGGATTCTTCCATTTTCTGGTTTTGTCTTGACCAGGTTATCTTCCTGTCTTGGAATACAAGGACTACATTAAGGATAGCAGCCAAGCAGCGGCTGGGCTGCTGAGTAAGCAAACGACACTCAGGGACCTGGCTTTTTGGTGAAGGTGTCAATGTCACAAAAGCCCGCAAGCCGTGGTAGGGGTCTAGGTGAGGGACTCGACGGTTGAATGAGGCCCCATCTGTGGAGGATGTCTTTCTTTTTTCTTTTTTTTTTTTTGACGGAACAGGAGATGAGGTGTCGAATCGTTGTAGGGTTGTGAAAAGTACTGGTGAGACCCTGAACCAAACTGGGGACTGGAGGGCGGTCGGAGGGGGAACGCTGGTCTAGTCGGGGGCGAGACGTCGAGGAGCTGGGATTTCAGACTCTCGCAGAATGAGCTGCCTCGGCGCCCAATCTCTCCTAGCGATCCCGGAATTTGTCGGGGATCCTGAGAAAATACGAGAGGAAAAGGGAAAAGGCGAGGTCTTAGTTTTGGAGAGGAAGTGGGGTAAACCGCCTCACCTCTTGGTTCTCTCAGAGCTGGTGCCGTTGGTTCCAGTTGTTATTTCTCGTTGCTGGGTAACGTTTTTGTTTTGTTTTGTTTTGTTTTTTTTGTAACTCCAACTACGGCGGCCGGGAAGGGGAGAGGCAAGGCTTCGCCCGGCTGCCGGTACGGGTTCCGCGACAGAATGGCCCTGGATGGGTGGAGTCTCAGGCATCCCCGCCCCCCGCAGGTCCCGCCCACGGCCCCGCCCCGGCGTGGAGTCCGCGTCTCGAGTCCGGCGCGGGGCTGGAGGATCCTCCCAAACATGGTAGCGCCGGGATTTATAGTTGGGCTGGTGCTGCCTTTAATCCTGCCGGCCGACACGAGTGCAGGTGAGGCGGCCCGGCTTGGCCCAACCTGTGCCGGTCAGCCTGCGCGGGCTCGGAGATCCCTCGTCCTCTGCAGGACCCGCGAACCGCGAACCTGGAGCCGGTCCTCCGACTCGACCCAGGCCTAGGCCGCAGGTGTCTGCTGGGCGGGAGTTCCGGCTGGTCAGCTTCTTCCCCGTCCTTTCAACGTCGTCACGTTGCAGCGTGTGGGGCAGAGGGAGGGTTGGGTGTATCTGATTGGGGAGGCCCAAATGTGCTAGACCGAGGCCCTCGGGGTCTTTGAATAACTTCAAGGGAACTCGAAGGGAAGGGGGCGAAGCTAGTTCGATAGTATTTGGAAACAGGTAACTGAGTCATCCAAAACATTTCACTTCTGCCCCCACAGTAGTACCCTTGGGGAGGGTTTGCTGCAGGCTTGGTTCCTTGGGGGAATTAAATTTTACTAGTTTAAGTGGTGATTAGGACTAAGAAATACAACCCCCTCACTAGCTAAGAATATTTAAGGCTTAGCTTTGATTGCTGGCGCAGCTTACAGGGATAATATGCGTGACACTGGGGAGGAGGGTGACTCACTTTGACTACTGTCCAGGTCAGATCCTGTCATTTGAATACCTCAGGCTGGACCCTGAGTCACAACCGTGGAGAACCAGAAGACGGAATCTGCGTGCTAACGCAAAGTAAAGTGATAATGCTGGCCTTGTTTTTTTCTTTAAACCATTCGAATTGTGGACCCCAAAGTTCTCTGCTAAGAAATGAAAGTTGAGGTGAGAATAGGGACAGGGTGCAGAAAAATGGCTCGTGCTCTACCTGAGCACCCAGAAGTACCCAGACAGACCAACTGCCGCCCCTAAGTAGTTTTTCAGGCTTTAACAAAGTGTAAACCAGCAGCACTCTCTGCATATCATTTTTTGCCTCTCATCCTCACTCAGTGACCTTTGAGTCCGGCATATGATAGGCGAGTAGGGCCATTATTTTATTAACTTTTCTGTTAAAGGCTGTTATCTTTAATGCCGGTGCAATATTCCGTCTTCACCTTGGGTCATATGCCCATGGTTACTATCTAATATTTGAAATGTACAAAAGTATATGAGCAATGAAACAATAAAATGAATACCCAAAGGTGCTGCACCCAACTTAAGAACTAGAATATTGCTAGTTTTATTGAGACTCCCAGGATGTTCCTCCCAGGGCATCCAGGAGTTCCTCGCCAGAGGTAACCTACCCACTGGATTAATTTCATCACTCACTAACAGAACACTAATTCTTGTTTTCTACTCCAACATCGAAATGAAGGAAAAATTGAAGACCTAAGGAAAAAAGATTCAAATGCTAAGTGTCTTGTGCTTGACAAAAAGAATGACCAGTCCCGCCTCCTTTCTCGTTCTCCTATTTTGTCCATTGCTCAATTCCCTGGTAATGTTCCACTGTCTACTCTTTTTTTTTTTTTTAATTTTTTTTTCAACGTTTATTTATTTTTGGGACAGAGAGAGACAGAGCATGAACAGGGAAGGGGCAGAGAGAGAGGGAGACACAGAATCAGAAACAGGCTCCAGGCTCTGAGCCATCAGCCCAGAGCCCGATGCGGGGCTCGAACTCACGGACCGCGAGATCGTGACCTGGCTGAAGTCGGACGCTTAACCGACTGCGCCACCCAGGCGCCCCTCCACTGTCTACTCTTATCAGCTTGGAATGTGAGCTTTATAAGGGCAGAGAATATGACTTTTTTTTTTTTTTTAAATTTACCAGCAATATCTGCAGCAGACTGGAAATTGCAATAACTCTGGAATCAGGTGACTTGGTTTCTAGTCCTTTTGTAAACTACCTGTGCGATTTAAGGTCAGTCAAAGGAGTTTAATATGTGCAGTGTGGATAGCACTGTGCCTGCCACAAATAAGCTCCCCGGTAGAATGTAAGCTTCCTGCTGCTGGTGAGGCTTTTTGTCTGTGTTTTGTTTTCCCTTTATTGTTTTCTTCTTTCTTTTTCTTACTGTTCTATCCTCAATGCTTAAAATGGTGCCTGGCACACAGTAGGCATTAATACAAAATTTGTTGAATTCATTAATATGCAAGCTATTAGGTAAAATTACCTAATCTACCTGGGTATCAGTCTGTTGATCCATAAATAACATGATTGTACCTTGGGGTGTGAAAGATCCTTTCTTTCTTAAAATTAAAATTCTTTAACTCAGAATAGAGCCAGGCACAATGAGGACCAGTAAGTGTGTGTTGGCGAAAACAGACTGACTTGGAAAGATGTGTCCCCGGCACAATGAGACAATGGCTGCACTCTTAGAGAGCCCTTCCTTTGTATAGGCTCATGTGCAAGCGACAGCCAGTTTTCGACACTCCGTTCCCCTACCCTCACCCTCTTTCTGCTTAGCTCTTAGCCCTTTGGTTTTCAGTTCTTGTTCCATATGAAGCACCTACCCAAGACTAGGCCCTCCCACACGTGTGCCTCTCCCCTTCCCTCCAGCAGGCTGCCAACGTGCTTATGCAATTCTGGGATGTTAGAGTCTCTTCTTAGAGCATTTTGCTTGTGGTAGCTGTGCATCTCCAGCCCATTATCCAGCCTTCTGGATGATTGTTGGTTGTCATTTAGGTTTTATGATGGAACTAACTCATGAGAGAGCGCTGAGGATATTTAGCGACTGGGCTGTTATTTGAAGCAAATAGGCCACCGAGTCTGTATGGGAGACCCTGTTAGCTTTGCTGCCCTGTTAAGTATAGCCTCAGGGGCCATCATCATTTGTAGCTTTCAGGGAAGAAACCTTGTTAGTTCTCATTCTCTTTCCTGCCTATCATTTTTGTTTAAAATGCTTAAAAAAAAATCTTAACTTTGTTAATTATTTTCTTCTAGGGATTTTAGTCTGTTTTGTTCAGACAAATTGGGACATAACTTAAGAAGATTTTTCCCCCCTTGTTAAGTTTTGATGAGGAACTCACTGAGATAATTTGGATAGATGCTTGTTATTAATAAAATACTTCAATATAGGCTGCATGTTAAAAATAGGAATGATCTCGTTAAAGTAAGTTCTTATTCAGTCTTGTTAGTGACTCTAGAATAGAATCTACAGTTTCAAGTGCTCTTCCTCTTGTTCTTTTTATATAACTTAGCTTGTGAAATGGGTAAAATTGAGACGAAAGACCTTTGTTCTGACATTTTGACCCTCTATTTCTCGCCGACCTTATTTTATCATATTAATTTATTTGAATTTACCTTAGAAGGAAGCAGATGTCACAGATATTCATAAATGCTTATTTAAAATTTTTAGTGGGTTGTCAAAAAAAAACACAATAAGGGGAATTATTTGTAGGAGTCGACACTGGTGGGAAGGAAAGGGGGGAGATAAAGAATGGGGGAGAGATTAGAGGAGGCTGTGTTGGAGAGAGGCAGGTTTCTTTATTCCCAGCAACAAGGAGTGGGCATGGTAATGGAAAGTAGGGGAAGGAAGTGGTTTATTTTTCTCATAAATACCATCTGTGGGGTGCATAAAAGGAGCATTTTAACAATTTGGAGGGAGAGCGCAGAGCGTCAGGGCCAAGCTTGAGAGCAAAGGATGATCAAGAGCTCTGAAGCAGAGGAGGCTTGTGGCACATTGGTTGCCGTAGGCTCTTTGAGTTTTCCTTATTGGTCATCTTGTACTATGATGCATATTATTGGCAACTGCTCTTGTTATGTTGCTTACCTAATTAGGACGAATAAGATCTAGTTTTAGAAGATTAAAGGGTCTGGGTATATTCAAATTGTTCTGTATAAAAGCTTTACGGTTTCTTGCTGTTTAACCAGATTCAATTGGTGATGAATCCCCCAATGATGCTTTTCTAAGTGTTGGTTAACATTTTTAGATGTCCGTTTTCGCTTTGCTTCATACATCAATAATTACATGGTGCTGCAGAAGGAGCCCGCAGGGGCAGTGATCTGGGGCTATGGCATATTCGGAGCCACAGTGACAGTGACTTTGTGCCAAGATAAAGAAACCATCATGGAGAAGGTGACGAGTGTGAAAGGTAAGGCTGCTCATCCTCTGTTCAGCTTTTGTCCTCTTCTGCCACCTGCTGGATAATCTGAAAACGAACACTGGTGCTGGAACTCAGGTTGTCGCACCCATCCATTTAAGTTTGAGTATTTATCATGTGTTAGGCACTGAGGACACAAAGAAAATTAAGACAGAGTCAAAGTTCCTGCCCTCCAGGATCTCATGGCATAATGGGAATAGACACCAAGTCATAAAGTGCAGTGTGATAAATGCTATGATGAAGGTGTATATAGGCTGTTGTGGGATACAGAAGAGAAGCGTCTAACTCAGATTGGATGGTAAGAAACAATTTCCCCCGAAGGTGACATTTGAACTGAATTATACATAAAGGAGAGGCAGTATGGAGGAGTGCTTAAGAACCCAGGCTGTGGCCTCACTGAGCTCAGGTTCTGATGCTATAACCTCAGGCATGTTATATAACATCTCTGTGTCATAATTTCCTTATTTGTAAAGTGGAGATAATGATATTTAGGGTAATTGTAAGGATTAAATGAATTAGCACATGTAAACATGTGTGTTAGCTGCCATTATTATTATTATTGTTATTATAATATTTAGAGAGTCACTCAAATATTTATTGAGTGCCTATGTGCCATATATTGTGTTAGGTACTGGTAATACAGTGATTAGCAAGATAGATGTGGTCTGTCTCCTAATGAAGCTGACAGATGAGGGAGGAGGCAGAAAATGAATAAGCAGTTACAGGTAAGTTAGGTGCCTCAGTGTGGAAGCACAGTGTGCTATGGGAGTGCTTAGGAGAGATAATTAACTTAGTCTAAGATTTATCTTGAAAAGTGAGTAGGGCAAACCAGGTAGGGCAATAGCCTGGAGCCATGGAGGCATGAGGGAGCATGGGTCATTGGAGAAATGGCAAGCAGGTTGGTTTGTCTAAGCACCGGAGTCTGCGACTGGTGGCCAGATAATCAGATTTGTATTTTAAGAAGGTGACTCTGGCAGCACCATGGAGAGGAGAGCGGAGGTCAGTAAGAATAGAGGTGGTGGGAACCGTTAGCCTGTGATATTTAGGCAATAGATGACAAAGGCCTGACCCACCTGACCACCTTGGGCACCACCCAAGGTAGTGGTTGTAAGGATATTCAAGAAGGTGAGAACCAGAAGCTTCTGTGAGCAGACAGGTCCTACAAAGGAGTCTTTGTCTAGAAGGGGTAGAGTTGTGTAAGTTGGCATGTGAAAGAGCATAGCTAGAAGTTAACTGCATATTGGAGGCCACAGTCACGGCTGGGTCAAGTGGAGACAGGATCAGATCTTGGTTAGAGGTAGTGATATAGCCATGAAATGTTGAAGGTGAGAGTCAGACGGGTAACAAGGCTGCTTTGGGGAGCAGGGGTGTTCATGTGGGAGTTGGTAGTTTGAGCAGTGACTTGAAGATACATATGACAGGGAAGCTTGTGGGAGTTTTATTGGACCTTGAAAACAAGGGTTTCCTGATTAGTTTTGTCAATATCCAGTCCAGAGTGAACCAGACCCTTGTGCAGCCTCTTTATAATTCATTTCCATACAAAAAACATTTTTTTAAGTTTATTTATTTTGAGAGGCAGAGAATGCGCGCGCGCGCACACACACACACACACACACACACACACACACACACACACTTGCATGTGAGCGGGGAAGGGGCAAAGGGAGAGGGAGAGAGAATCCTAAGCAGGATCCATACTGTCCGTGCAGAGCCCAACAGGGGGCTCAAATCCATGAACCGTGACATCATGCCCTGAGCTGAAATCAAGAGCTGGATGCTCAACCGACTGAGCCATATAGGTGCCCCAACAAACATTTAGAAATACTATGTGCCAGGCATAGATGTGAGGTGAGTGCTTCTAGTTCTTGGATTGTAAGACTGTTTAAGGTAAGAATGTTTTCAGGTGACACTAAGAGACTTGAAAGGGGAAGCTTAATCTGATTGAGAAGTTGTTCTCTGTTAGATTTAAATGCTACTGGTGACCTGTGGGATGTGCTGAAAATGAATTCAAGAGACAATTTTTGTGTTGTGTCTATCTTAGAAATTAACAGCATAGAGTATAAATACTGGTGATCACAGTTGATTTAGAAATCCAAAGAGCTGCTGTAGTTTAAAAATAAAAAATAGGGTTTCCTTGGCTAATAATTAACATTACCAATAAATATTTAGGAGACAGAGACTACATAGTACTATAGTGATAGATGCAAAAGAGTATACGTATACTTTATATTTGTTAGGCTCTCTACATTTGCTTGGTAGGAGAGAAAAAATAAAATATTTATTTTTTTTAGATCCATAAACCTACTTATAAGGACATATTGTTGTGTTCTGTACATGAAGCAAAATGAATAAAGTGTTATTTGGAATAAAGGAGGTAGACATGTAGGAAATTTTATAGGGCAAAAAAAAATGTTTCTCAAAGGAAACACTACAGGGTATATGGAAAGGTTGACTTCTCTTTAAATTTGATGAGGACTCTGGGATTTTCAGCTAGACTACCTCAGTTTGTCATTCTGTCTCTGTTAATATTTAACTTACTACCTATAATCAATCCCCTGGGTGCCCACAACAAAATGGAATTAACAGCATGAAGATTTTTGTCCAGCAGACTGACACTTAAGCTTTGGAATGGTTCAATTAAAACTTGAGGGATGATTGGGAATATGGGTCAGGTACTGGGCCTAGTCAAACCATATCGTCAAATGATGCATGATGAGTTTTTCAGACACAAGGAATAAAATTGGGGAGGGGAGGGTATATCTTTTCACTTTGACATACATGGGGGATAAAATGAGAGTGTGTCTGGATTCATCATCATGACCTGAGGTAAGTAGGGATATTTACTTTAACTTAGAAAATTACAAAAAGCCTAAACCCCTTAGAAAAGTAAAAAGCTCCTGGTTGCAATGTTAGCATGCACACTAGTTTTCTGTGCTATACAATAAATTACCACAAATTTAGGTGCTTAGAACAACACACTTTTATTATGGCACAGTTTCTATAGATCTGAAGCCTGGGCCATTGCTTAGCTGGGTTTTCTGTTCAGGGTCTCACAAGACCGAAATCAAGTGTTGGCTGGGCTGTGTTCTCATCTGGAGGCTTGACTAGGGAATGATCCACTACAAGCTCATGTAGGCTGCTGGTAGATTTCCTTCCTTATGCCTATAGAATTCATGGAAACATCTCTACTGCTTCAAATCTCTGACCTCTAGACCTTCTTCTGTTTTTTTTTTTTTTTAATTTTTAAAAATCTTTTATTTATTTTTGAGAGAGAGAGACAGAGTGTGAGCAGGGGAGGAACAGAGAGAGAGAGGGAGACACAGAATTGGAAGCTGGCTCCAGGCTCTGAGCTGTCAGCACAGAGCCCGACACAGGGCTTCAGCTCACAAGCCCTGAGATCATGACCTGAGCTGAAGTCAAACGCTTAACCGACTGAGCCACCCAGGAGCTCCTAGACCTTATTTTAAAGGGCTTACCTTATCAGGTCAAGCCCACCCAGGGTAATCTTCCTTTTTATTAACTTAGTGTCAACTGATTTGGAACTTTAATTACATCTGCAAAACTCCTTTATCTTTTCCATATAATGTAACCCAAATCACAAGAATGACATCTCCTCTCTCATGCCATTTTCTGATGGTTGGAAGCAAATCACAGATTCTGCCTGAATTTGAGGGGAGGGGATTTTGTACGGGTGTGACTTATTGGGTGGGTCACCTTAGGGTGTTATATGCCATAGCATGCTATACTTTAAATAATTTGCATAAATAGTTTTATTGATGGAAAAATGTTCAAGCTCTTTTTTTGCTTTTTATATTCATATTTGGTGGTGGTGATGAACTTTATACAGAATAAATGAAGGTTGCAAAGGGGCAGTTTGGGCAGTAAGACCTTCTTTACCTCCAAGTCACTTCTCTAGATCACTAAACTGATTTGCAGCTGGTGAAGTGCCAGGGTTTTGTGGGAGAAGAACTTCTTCCAATTCTAGGCTTTTCCTCTTGAGGAGGGAAAGGTCATGGATAATTTCCTTTTTTCTCTTCTTGGCATCTGAGATTTGGCACAATAATCTGAAAAATAATTAACATCTGATGTGAATAGCAAAGAGAAAAAAGCATGAATGCACCTTATGACTAATCAGGTCTTTAGACAAATTCTTTTAATTTTTTTCCCTTTGATTATTTGTTCTTCTGATTTTGAGGTGGCGGGTGGTCAGGGAGATGGAGAGAAGAAAATGAAGAGAGTTCTTTACTTCAGTTGTTGGCTGGAACATGAAGAGAAGAGGGACAGGAAGAAATAGGCCCCCAGATATGCTAACCATTGGACACAGAAACACAAAGCCTGATTAGTAGTTTGCATGGCTTTCTTGGTGGTGTAACTCAGGACTGAGGTTTACTCTCTGCTGTTCACTGAATGCCTCGCACACAGTAAGCACTCAAAGTAACCGTGTAATAAAGGAAGGACATGAATCTTCCTACACGGGAGATGAAAGAATGCGAGGAAGCAGAGATTTGAATGCAACAAACATGAGAATTTACAGAAATCCAGGCCTGGATTGGTAAGCAAGGTCACAAGATTCGCATGTGATTAAGGTCCAGAAGAAGGAACCAGAACAGCTGTTGCTCAGAAAGTCCATCAGGATGAGCAGAAATTCAGCTGGATGGTGAACTTCCAACTCTTCGTAGTTGGTGACTCAGTTTTATTATTTGGATTCAACCTAGTGGACTTGGTGGGGGGGGGTGGTCAACAAAGTTTCTAAAGACTGTAACTGGATTTCATCATCCTGTGGTGAGCTCCACTTTAACCAGCCAGTCCTCAACTCGATGGCCAAGGACTAACCACTTCTCTTGTGAAATGTGGTGATTTCTACTTTTGTAATCCCATCCTTGCCTTTGGTCTAAGAACCAGCCTTCACAGAGCTTGCTCTCCTTTGTGTATACTTACATGGGAGTCAATCCTCAGTGTCTTAACCAAATTGTTTCTAGGTTGGTTTAACCATTAGTAAGCTCTCTGCAGTGGACCTGGTTTCCCCTGCATTCCCTGGCAGGTAACTTCACTTAACCCTCATTATTGTGTCAGTTTTATCAAGTGGGAGAGGAAAACAGCTTGAATCAAAAAGAGCTCAAGTATTAGACAAGAAGGAAGTTCTCTAAGGTCTTTGAGGGAGTTGAGAGTTTTCCTCAAGAGGGCAGTTCTTGGTGTGGATCCCTAGTTCTCTTCAGACTATTTAGGTACTAGAGGGAGCTCATTCTCTGGCTCTAGTAGGATGGCATTGCTATCTTTTGCCCAAACATCTCCCCCCTCCCTATTTGTCCTTCAGTTGCTGGGCAGTGAAACTTTTCAGAAACTCTGGTGAAGGTAACTTTCTTCACCGGCCATATTGCGTGGATTGAGGCTAAGTGTAAATATCTAATTAACAGTGACTAGAAATAGATTGCACAGTAGTAGAAAGCTAAAGAAATTCTGCCCTAGGTTTTTTGACCTCCTCATCATAAATGAGTAATGTTTGTGGCAGAAGGACAGAGACTTAGTAAGATATGTGAGTGCAAGAAGCCTGGAAAGACCTTGGCAAGACTGTAGTGGGGACAGATTGGAGTGTCTGCCTGTTCAGAAGCGTGAGCCATATGGAGCACATCACACCTGTGCGACACAATCTGTACTAGCTGCCCACTGTTTCCAAAACAGTGATTTTTCTGCTTTAGGTGAATTATACATTTAATATGTTGATGTCTGGCTATTGGTGGTATAAAAACAATAGTGAGCATTTGGTCCTGAGCTTACTTGACCTCTAAGGGATGGGAGTAGCAGTCTCAGTGGGTTGTACTTTCGAGAGGGGCAAGCATGCACCCTTTCGCTGATGCCTTCAGGCTTTTGGACATTTTCCCCAAGACTCTGAACAATATGTGTGGTTTGAGCTTTTCCTAATCTCCTGTCATGCATCCGGACTTCTCATGCTTCTGCTTAGCTTTTGCTGATTGGGAAGAACTTAGCGTAGCATCTAGCACTTAGTAGGCACTTGGATACTTTTTTTTATAATTATAATTTTTGCTGGCTGCTATAACTTTAGGGTGCTCCATTTCCACTTCTCACTATTCTTTCCCTCTGAATTAACATTAATCTGATGGGCACAAATTAGAAATTATTTTGTAGCCTTTGGCATGATGCCAAGAATATTTATTTTAAAATGATCATTTCTCTATTTTCTTTATTCTCTTCTCACTCTCCTTTTTTCAACTTTGTTCATGTTGTTTGGTTCTCCCAGGCATCATTTTGCCATTTTGAAGATATTTTCCCTAAGTTTCTGAATATGATGTTGGCAGTGGTGGTGGTATGAGTGGGTGAGAGGTAGGAAGGTGGTAGGGGGGTGGTTCCTAAGGAATGTGCTATGGATTTCTGAAACAGGGTCTTGGATAGCTTTTCATCTTCCTAATTGAGTCCGAAAACCTTAAGTCTGATAAGTAACTCTGTGAAAATAATTAATTGGGCATGTCTAAATATCTTCTTCACAGAGAGATCAATTTGTGATTAATCTGAAATTGGTACTATGTATGCTCCTACTCCTTTGTCCTGTGTCAGTTTCTCTGTTCACCTTAAGGGAAGTTCCAGATTGTAAATTATTTTCTCTAATCTGTGTTCACGTTTGATTAGATAATTACAAATTAATTTGGGGCACTGCATAAATCTATTAGATCATGATTATATTAATACTGACATTTGGATAGTATAATATGAATTTCTATTTTATGTTTTTTTTTAATTAAGTTTTTTTTTCGTGTTTATTTATTTTGGAGAGAGAGACAGAATGCGAGTGGGTTGGGGGCAGAGAGAGAGAGGGTGACACAGAATCCGAAGCAAGTTCCAGGCTCCAAGCTGTCAGCACAGAATCCGACGTGGGGCTTGAACTCATGAGCTGTGAGAGCATGACCTGAGCTGAAGTCGGACGCTCAACCGACTGAACCACCCAGGAGCCCCTATTTTATGTTTGTTTTTTTTAAATTAAACTCCCTTGGATTTTAATCTCAGTATATTTTTGTCTGTTCTCATTTAGGATTATAACTGGGTGATTAATTTTTCCTGTAAATGCTTCAGTTACAAGGAAGGAGGGATTGGTACAGATTAAGGATAGAAATGCTACTGCTTTTGTTATTTCTTTTGCTTGTCTGAAATTTGGCTAATTTTCATATCTTTTTAAAGTTTGTTTTGAGAGAGCGGGAGAGTGAGGGTGAGAGCGAGAGAGCGAGAGAGAGAGAAAAGTGTAGGGGCAGAGAGAGAGGGAGAGAGAAGAGAGAATCCCAAGCAGGCTCCACACTGTCAGTGCAGAGCCTGACATGGGGCTTGATCTCACGAACTGCGAGATCATGACCTGAGCTGAGATCAAGAGTCAGCCTGTTAACCAACTGAGCCTCCCAGGTGCCCTAATTTTCTTATCTTTGAATTCAGTTAATCACAGTGGTTGGGAATAGCCACAAATGAATATGATGCATGACAGGATTGTGCTTTAATTTTGTTTTAATTGATTGATTACTTCCTTGGAGTCTTTTTATGATTTCAGCACATTCTAACAGCTGGATGGTGGTACTGGATCCTACGAAGCCTGGTGGACCTTATGAGGTGATGGCACAACAGACTTTTGGGAGAACAAACTTCACCCTGAGAGTTCATGATGTCTTATTTGGAGATGTCTGGCTTTGCAGTGGGCAGAGTAACATGCAGATGACGGTTTCACAGGTAATTTACAGAGTCTCAGTGTTAATAAATAATGATGATGAAGAAGAAGAAATAGAAGGTAGAGGAAGGGGACAAGTAGAAGGAGGTAGAAACCTTTTTCTGCCACGTGCCAAGATCTGTTCTCAGTGTTTGCCATGTGTTAGTTAATTCGATTTAACAACTTTATGAGGTAAGTATGGTTATTCACCTCACAGATGAGGAAACTGGCCCACTGAGGTTAAATTACCAGCTTCAGGTCACACAGTTAATAGTGCAGCCAGAATAGGAGCAGGTAATGCGACTCCAGAGCCTGCTTTCTTAATCACAGCTAGTGCTCTGTACGCGTGCAGGGCACCATTTCCTGGCCTTCCTGAGCTAAGGGCAGGAGCTAGAGTATCTGACGGCAAGGAAGATTTCATATCAAATTGAAGACAAAGTAGATTACTCTTCTTTTTGATTGGTCTTGATGAGCTTCTGGAGAGAGCCTGGGAAATCAAAACAATTAGAATTTGTTTCAAGCTGTGCGTCTAATATAATATATGTCTTTTGTTGTCATGGAGATTTAAAAAATCGAGACTGAATGTTGGCTTTGCCTTTTAGCAGTTACATGACTTGGAGAAAATCACTTCGTATTTCTGAGACTTTGTTTTCAAAACCTGCTTTTTAGGAGCACCTGGGTGGCTCAGTTGGTTGAGCATCTGACTCTTGATTTAGGCTCAGGTCATGATCCCAGGTCATGGGATCAAGCCCCATGTTGGGCTCTGTGCTGAGCATGGATCCTGCTTACGATTCTCTCTCCTTCTTCTTCTGCCCCTCTCCTCTGCACCTGTGTGCTCTCTCTCTCTCAACCACCCCCCCAACCCTGCTTTAAAAAAATTGTGGTTAAAATGAGTTTTTGTTATATTTGATAAATGAATTTTATTTATCATATTTATCATTTTAACCATTGGTAATTGTACAACTTAGTGGCATTAAATTTGTTCACAACCCTCTGTGTACCTGTCAGCACTATCTGTACTCAAAAAATTTTCATCATCCCCAGCATCCCTCTGTACCCATTAAACAATAACTGCCCCCCTCTTTTTGCCTTCTTCCAGCCCCTGGTAACCTCTATTCTGCTTTCTCTCTATGAATTTGCCTATTCTAGGTACCTCAGTTTTCAGTATACAAGTCTCTTCCATCCTTAGCTAGATTTAGTCCTAAATATTTAATTCTTTTAAATGCTATTGAAAATGGAATCATACAGTCTTTGTCCTGTGTCTGACTTATTTTACTAAGCATAATGTTTTCAAGGTCTATCCATGTTGTAGCTTATATCAAAATTTTGCCCCTTTTTATGGCTGAATTGTATTCCATTGTGTATGCCACATATTGTTTATCCATTCTTCTGTTGATGGACACTTGGGCGGTTTCTGTCTTTTGGCTATTGTGAATGCGTACAGATACCTGTTCAAGCCCCTGCTTTCAATTCTTTTGGATATATACCTTTGAGTGCAATTGCTGGATCATCTATTAGTTTTGTGTTTAACTTCTGGGAAACCACCAAAACATTTCTACAGTGGCTGTACTGTTTTACATTCCTACCAGCAATCTGCAAAGGTTCAATTTCTCTAATGTGTTATTTTCTGTTTTTTTTTTTAATTAATTTTTTTTATTATAGCCTTGCTAATACATAGGAAGTGGTATCTCATTGTGTTTAAATTTTTTTTAGCTTTTTATTTAAATTTTAGCTAAAAAAAAAAAGTTGGGGCACCTGGGTGGCTCAGTTGTGAGTTCGAGCCCCACGTCAGGCTCTGTGCTGACAGGTCAGAGGCTGGAGCCTGCTTTGGATTCTGTCTCCTTCTCTTTCTGCCCCTCCCCACGTGTGCTCTGTTTCTCTGTCTCTCAAAAATAAATAACTGGAAAAAAATAAAAAAAAATTAATTTCAGCTAACATGCAGTTCAATATTGGTTTCGTGAGTAAAATTTAGTGATTCAGCACTTACATGATACCATCCAGTGCTCATCACAACAAGTGCCCTCTTTAATACCCATAATCTGTCTAGCCCATTCCCCACCCACCTCCCTCCATCAACCTTCAGTTTGTTGTCTATCCTTAAGAGTCTCTTATGGTTTGTTTCCTTCTCTCCTCTTCCTCCTCCCTTCTCGTATGTTTATCTGTTTTGTTTCTTAAATTCCACATATGAGTGAAGTCCTATGTTATTTGTCTTTCTGTGATTGACTTATTTCACTTAGTATAATACATTCTAGCTCCCTCCATGTCATTGCAAATGGCAAGATTTCATTCTTTTTGATGGCTGAGTAATATTACATTGTATGTATGTATATATATGTGTGTTTGTATATATACCACATTTTCTTTATCCATTCATCAGTCAATGGACATTTGGGCTCTCTCCATAGTTTGGCTATTGTCAGTAATGCGGCTATAAACATTAGGGATATGTAGCCCTTCAAATCTGTATTTTTGTATCCTTGGAGTAAATACCTAGTAGTGCAATTGCTGCTGGATTGTAGGATAGTCCCAATTTTAGTTTTTTGAGGATCATTGTAGTTTTGATTTGCATTTCCCTAATGACTAATGATATTGGTCATTTGTATATCTTCTTTGGAAAAATGTCTAAGTTCTTTGCCTATTTTTGAATTGGGTTGTTTGTTGTTGAATTGTAGGAATGATTTGTATGTTCTAGATATTAACCACTTTTCATATGTATGATTTGCAAATATTTTCCCCATTCTGTAGGTTGTCATTTCACTTTCTTGAGAGTGTCCTTTGATACATAAAAGTTTTTAATTTCAGCAAAGTCTAGTTTATTTATTTATTTTTTTGTTTTCTATGCTTTTGATGTCACATACATGAAATTGTTGCCAAATCCAGTGTTAAGAAGGTTCCCCCCCCATGTTGTCTTCTAAGAATTTTATACTCTTATGTGTTTGATCCTTTTTGACTCAATTTTTATATATAGTGTAAGTTGAAGATCTAACTTCATTCTTTTGCAAGTGGATATGCAGTTCTTGCAGCAGCATTTGTTGAAGACTGTCCTTTCCATATTGAACTCTTGGAACTCCAATTGACCATATATGTGAGGGTTTATTTCTGGGCTTACTATTTTATTCCATTGGTCTATATGTGTCTCCTTATGCCAGTACCATACTGTTTTGATTACTGTAGCTTTGTAGTAAGTTTCAAAGTTTCAAAGTTCAAAGTTCGAAGTATGAGTCTTCCAACTTTATTCTTCTTTTTCAAGATTGTTTTGGCTATTCATGGCTATTCATATGGAATTTTCTTGCAATTCCATATGAATGTGAGGATATGCGTTTCCATTTCTGCAAGAAAGGCTTTTGGAATTTTGATAGATATTGTGATGAATCTGTAGATTGCTTTGGGTGATATTGACATTTTAATGATTTTAAGCCTTCCTGCTATGAAGGGATGTTTTTCCATTAATTTAGATCTTTAATTTTTTTCAGCAATGTTTTGCAGTTTTCAGTATACAAGTCTCTTACCTCCTTTGCTAGATTTATTCCTCAGTATTTAATTCCTTTAGATGCTATTGTACATGAAATTTCTTTCTTAATTGCCTCTTAAGACTGTTCATTGCTGGTGTATAGAAACAAATGATATTTGCATGTTGGTCTTGTACCCTGACACTTTGCTGAATTTGTTTATTAGTTCTGGTAGCTTTCTTGTGATTTTTTTTTTGGGTTTTCTAATATAGGAGCATATCATCTATGGATAGAGATAGTTTTACCTCTTTGGATGCCTTTTATTTCTTTCTTTTTTTTTTTTTTTGTCTAATAACTCTGGCTAGAGCTTCCTGTACAATGTTGAATAGTAGTGGTGAAAACAGACATCCTTCTCTTGTCCTGGTTTTAGTAGGAAAACTCTCACTCTTTCACCACTGAGTGTGATGTTACTTGTGGGTTTTTCATAAATGCCTTTTATCATGTTGAGGAATGATCCCTCTATTCCTAGTTGTCTGAGAGTTTTTACCACGAAAGTATGTTGCATTTTGTTAAACTAAGTCTGAGACTTAGTTTTCACGACTATACTGCAGTAGTGATTGTATCTGACCTAATTTACTGAGCCATTAAAAAGATTAAATTATTTTGTTTGTTTCTAAAAGGTCTTTATAAATTGAAAATAGCTGTCAAAATATAAGGTATTGCTATTTTTTCAAATTTTTTATTATAAAAAGTTTTAAGCACACAAAAAAGTTAAGAGACTTGCAAACACCTATATACCCACCACCTAGATTCACAGTTGGTAATATTTTGCCTTATGTGGTTTATCTGTGTGTGTGTGTGTGTGAATTATCTCAATGTAAGCTGTATATCTTGATATTTCAGTTAGGTGTCATATGTCAAATTGATACATATTCATGTATAAAATTAATATGTTGATTTATATGTACATATATGTATACATAATAGAAAATATGCTAGGTCTCAAAATTTAAGAACAGTTAATCTTCAAAGGCTGTGATGTATATATAAATATAAACATATATTTGTATATATTTTTTTACACAGAAAGAACATATATGTATATATACATATTTTTTTTTAACAGAAAGAAGGCCAGTGATGATTTTTTTTTTTTGCTCAACTTTTTCATAGCCTAGGATTTCTTTTGTTAGCATCAATTCATTTTTCTCTGTTTCACTCACAGCCTTTGAAGACGTTCTTAAATTTTGAGACCTAGCATATTTTCTCCTTTATGATAACTGTATAGAGGCTTCACTAGGCTCTATTTACTCTGCTAGAATTGTTGGGAGGAAAGGCACTGCACAGGCTCCCAAGTAGGGACGGGACACACAGGGTGAATGGAGTCATGTGGGATGGAACCAGGGAATACTGACTTGCCATCTGTTGGTCAGTGACGAAATTCACTTTGAAGGGTTCCGGTGTTCGTTGCTCTTAGAGAATAGGGCTGCCCTGACAGACTATGAGTGAGGTCTCTTAAGTAAAGCTGGGTAAAAAGGACACTGAAGGGGCGCCTGGGTTGCTTGGTCGGTTATGCGTCCGACTTCAGCCCAGGTCATGATTTCACAGTCTGTGAGTTCGAGCCCCGCGTCGGGCTCTGTGCTGACAGCTCAGAGCCTGGAGCCTGTTTCAGATTCTGTGTCTCCCTCTCTCTCTGCCCCTCCCCTGATCATGCTCTGTCTCTCTCTGTCTCAAAAATAAATAAACGTTAAAAAAAAAAAATTAAAAAAAAAAAAAGGACACTGAAAAAGTTGCCAAGGGAAGGAAAGTTCTTAGTAGTTTGGTATTCTAGCAAGGCAGCAGAGGTAGAACAAAAGCCTTGGTGCTGTATGTCTTTGGCATTCAGATTTATTTTGAAGATCAGCTCTACTTTCTAATTAGACACAAAAACTGTCTAGAATGAAGAGGGTGGATTTCTGGATAGGGGTGATGGTGTTAGAGCTTTGGGCCTCAGAATTGTCCCCTCTTTGTTTAGTGGAAGCTGTCTGATTTAAAAAGGAAAGTAAGGGAGATCATTGTTATTTCTTTTAAATTAAAATCAGGGTTGGACAACATATTAGCAAGGTCACAGACATAATTGAAACTATATTAGCTTGAAATATTGCTGACAGAAGGGTAAAGGTTTTTTTTTTTTTAATTTTTTTTTTTTATAAATTTTTTTTTCAACGTTTATTTATTTTTGGGACAGAGAGAGACAGAGCATGAACGGGGGAGGGGCAGAGAGAGAGGGAGACACAGAATTGGAAACAGGCTCCAGGATCTGAGCCATCAGCCCAGAGCCCGACGCGGGGCTCGAACTCACGGACCGCGAGATCGTGACCTGGCTGAAGTCGGACGCTTAACCGACTGCACCACCCAGGCGCCCCCAGAAGGGTAAAGGTTTTTAATGCAGTATCAGAACTTCAGAGAAAGTAATCTGAGTTAAGTTCTTTGGCACATTTGAAACTGGGATTGATTTTCTTTCCTTGTCTGTATGTTCTGATTTTGCTATAATGAGCATGAACTAACTATAATTTTTAAAAGAAAGTTATAAAAACAAGAAACTGATATGCACTTGCCTAATCCCTTAAAGATTTATCGAAGGCTCAGTTTGCAATGAAGAGTCCCATTAAATAAACAAGAATCTTAGGAATAAATGGTTTTGTTTGCATTATGGGTTGGCACAAATATGTTCTGCGTACTTTGATTTGTTTCCTTTAATAAATTAAGAACTTGAAAAGATTATTGTCTTCCTAGTTCTTCCCCTGAAACTTAGTTTCTCCTCAAGTTGATATTTATTTTCTTGCCTTTCTTTCATTATGCTTCTCCAGTTTTGAGGAATACTTAAATTTGAAGTTTAAAAATCTCTATGACTATACTATGATCTCAACTCATTTTTGAAAAAAATTTTATTTATTTTATTTCATTTTTTAAAAATGTTTATTTATTTTTGAGAGAAGAGAGAGCACATGAGCAGGGCAGGGGCAGAGAGAGAGGGAGACAGAGGATCCGAAGCAGGCTCTGTGCTGACAGCAGACAGCTTGATGCGGGGCTCGAACTCACGAACTGCCAAGATCGTAACCTAAGCTGAAGTCAGAAGCTTAACTGACTGAGCCCCCAGGCACCCCAATTCATTTATTTTTTTTTAAATATGTAAAATTGAGTCCTTTCACATACTTTGTGGTTTATTTTGCTTTTATTGCTTCTACCCTGGATTGCTTTTTTTTTTTCTTTTTCTTTTGTTAACTAATTACTAAATAATGCTACTAAAAAGATCCTACTCTGGACATACCTACTCCATTTTTGTATTAGTTTTCTAATTCAGAATCTAAATTCTTGCATTTATGTCTTCACAACCAGTATCTTATTTACTCTTGCTTCCTGCCCTACTTAAATATGTGGGAACTTTTGAATTTAAATGTTTATCAAACTGAACTTTAACTGGGCTCCCTTTCAGCCCAAGTGGCTGGAAGCAAAACTGAAGTTTTATATCTTGAGAGAAAGCATGGTTTTGTTTAGAAGTGGGATTGCTGTTAACTCACTAAGGAAAACAGTCCTTTCTTGAATGCTTTGATTATAGTTCCCTGTTTGCACAGAAAGGCATGGACCAGATGTATTTGTATCTATACAGTCAGGTTCTCAATAGCAGGCTGTGCCAGGGGATCTCATCTCATTTTCTGTCAAGCTAAATCAGCTTTTGATTGTTAAGAGTAAACACATTCTTTCTGCCTAGAATTTACTCTTCAGCATCTTCTGCATTAGATTAAAGCTATAAGCTCTGAGATACAGGGAGATAGAAAAAGAATTCCATCTGACACAGCCACATGTTAATTTTTTATTTTTTTGTTTTAAATCATGCGCTTAGTTTGCAAGACAGCATTTTAGGTGCTGATGGTGTCAAAAGCCAAGTTTTCTAGTCTCTTAACATTCTATAGAACTTTATTTTTTGATCGAAAGCATGCTTTATATGATTCTTCCTTTATTCCTTTTGCTCCTTTTTCCTCTAAAGACGCCCAACACAGACATGCACGTACACACACATGTACACATGTACATGTACATATGCACACATGCACACACATGTACCCAGACACGGTATCTGTCTCTTCTCTTTGCCCTCCTCCGTGTGACTTTTCTGAGGAGGTAAGATTTCTACTATAACCTACCACTCTTCACATTCAAATGAAGGAAATGGCAGATTGTATGCCCATCTTGTTGTTAGGGTAAAGTGGAATTTTAAGATTGAGTGTTATTTATAACACTGAGTGAGATGTGTATAAATGGAGAAAAGTCTAAATGTTCATCTGTCGCCTTCTAACTCAGGGTAGGTCTTAAGACTTGGATATTTCTAGTTAGGCTCAGAAGAAGATGGCCAGTGTTAGACAAGGAAGCCCAGTTTTCAATATCTTGGCAATCCTGACATTGTTCCTATACAAGTAGAGAAGTCAAAATCCAGAAGCAAAGGGCTCATACTGTATTACAATAAAAGATTCATGGGAGGTATGGTGGCTGGCTTATTTATAGTTATTGCCTCAACTTTAAAGCTGCTATATTCTACTGTAGTAGAAGGGACTCTAACTTAGAAAACCTAAATTCTTTATTAAGTGAAGCTCCCCTGTGTTCTTTGGTATGGATTCCCCACGCGTGCGCACAGACTCACATACTCTCACACAAGGGCCCTGCTCCCTCACGCAGACCCCATGCCAAGATTCTCTGAGGAAATAGATTCTTGACGTTTCTTCATTAATTCAAGAATGTGGCATAAAGGTTACAAAATGAACACAGGCGAGCAGCTGCTTTGATGGTGAACGGCCTGTCCCCAGGGAGGCAGTGGTACACTCTTTCCACCGCAGCAGCCTTAATGACTTCAAATACCTTGGTATTCATTTACATCCTCATTTAAATACTTGGTAGGAAAATAATTACACTGAGGTGTTTGATGAGATGAAATTTGATCTCAGCAGATGGAGTAAGGCTTCCCCTTTCATCAGCGGGGGAAACCAAGTGTCATTTAAATGAAAATCTTCCTGAAATCTCTTTATTCCTAAATTTGCTGCCCATATCCCCGAGGAAATGCTTCCATCAAGAAGGCTTGGTGAGATTGCGAAAGGATACCAATTTCAGAAGTAATTGTCATCAGGTACAGCAAGACTTTTCCCCCACCCCCAAGGGTTTTTTTAAACGCTTGCTGTGGCTTTCAGGTTTTGGCTTGAGATAATACACAAATGTGAATTTGAAAATGCAAGTTTTTCCCGGCCGGTGTTTTGGATCCAGATCTGTGTGCTGGTGACACGGGAGAGTGCCAAACACCGCAACCCTGTCGGCCTTGAATAGTCCACCGCGCTAGCAACGGGCCTATGAGACAAGTAGCATGTTCACCCGTACCCGCCTCCCCAAGCTGGCATCTCACTGCGATGCGGCACTTGAGTTCCCAGGCAGTGCGGAAGCTAGTGTGGGAGGAGAGAAGGAAAGCACTTTCATCCACGGTTTCCATGGAAGCAGCATACCATCCTTAGTGCTCAGAGAGGAGCTGGTTTCAAGGGAGGTGACTTTTTACAGGTACTTGCTGCCGAAAAATAATTTTCCTGCCAGAATAGACTGTGAGTGCTTTAGCCTGTTTTCACTCTTGACTGTTTATTTTACATTTCGCTTGCCGGGCAAGATTTTGCACAAACGTGTCTGGATTTCCTGTGGAATTTTCCCGAGAACGTATGTAGTCTCTGTCCTGATAGCGTGAAGACCAGCGACCCCCACCGGCTAGAGCTGCTGTTACCCAGGGGGCACTTCAAGGCTGTGGCTCCCGTAGTGATCCGAGAGACATTTCACTTGCATCTGGCCGTCTTATTGGCCACAGCAGGCTCAGTGGCAAGTCAAAAGGCGATTCAAGGGGCCAGTCTATTTCATTGAAATGCCCTGTGGGGGCACTCTGGCTGCTCCAGGGTTTCTCTTACACTGTGGACTGGAGGGCCAGCTGTATTCTGTGTGGTGGGTGGGAGGAAAGGGGAGCCAGCTGCACACTCGGTGGCTAGCGGCCAATGGAAAGTATCCCAGCCTCCTGCGCTCTCGCTGTGGCAGTCCCGTCAGCTGGAGCTCTTGTTCCCTGAGGCCAATGATAACTGGGCTTCCCGATGCGCCTGTTAGCCCTTTGTTTTGGGAAAACCAGACTAGTCCAGGGTGGGGCGGGGGGATAGAGAAGACAAGAAAAGGCACCCAAATTACAAAACAAATCAATACATTTACAATCTGTATTCTTTGTAAAAGAAAAGAAAAGCATAACTCAAAAATCAGGATGGAAGGAACTGGCACTTTTCTATAAGCTCACAGAGGAATGACTAACAAAGAAACTACTCAGTATAATGCAGTCTCGTCCAGAAAAGCTCCAAGCCATTCCTGTCATACTCTTGGCAACTGGTGAGGTTTTGTGAAGGGATCTGGGAAGAAGTGGGGTCTTTGGGTGGACACTTTTCTTTGTCTGCAGCCATGCTGAACATCACCTTTCAGACTGCCCTGTCTTCTGTGCCTTTCTTGAGTGATTGGGCAGGATGAGATGAGAATATAAACATTTGAGATATTTCAGTATGTCTTAGTACTTCGAACAATCATCTCTCAGGTGTGTTCCTTTTGAAGGCACCTCTCTTCTGTGTTATGGATTACACACACCTACCTCCCCCTGGCCTTTTGAGCTCCATTTTGGAGAGACGTGAATGCTATGGTTTTGTGTTATCAGTTACTTTTTCTGACTAGAAGCATTTTAGTTTCAAGATACTACAGTGGGTCGACCAGTTGACAGTTGATCTTTAGCCTAAACCTCATCCAATTCAGACTTGCTCCTTGAGATCTCAAATTTCAGGGTATTCCTACCTTCTTTGGGAACAGGATTCACCATGGTCTGTGTTTGTCAAGGTGTATCAAGGTGAGTCAGAGCAGCCCATCACTGGTTTGGGTTATTTATTTGATCTTGGTTTATGAAGGCTCAGAAGAGCTCAGAGGTTGGGTAGTGTTTACTAAGAGGTGGTAGGCTAGTTGGCTGCCCACTAGGTTGATGTAAGAAATGACATTCCTGTCTGTTTTCCTAGATATTCAATGCGACAAGAGAGCTGTCTAACACTGCGGCCTATCAGTCTGTCCGCATCTTCTCTGTGTCGCTCACTGAGGCAGAGCAGGAACTGGAGGACCTGGCCAAGGTTGACTTGCAGTGGTCTAAACCCACCTCAGGTGAGTGACTGTGGAACGTGTGCCATCTCTTGCGTACTGGGTCAGTGCCCTAGGAGGACTCTGGAACCCTGAATTTGGTTCTGATCTATTTATTAGGATTCAGCCACCCTTATACTCATTTCTCGTTGACTTCCCACCTGAGTTCTGGGGGTAGCCACTTCATGCATTTCTTCCCAAGATTCCCCCCTGCTATGAGCAGATGACACTTCCTTCAGCTTCACTGAACAGACTGAGGCCACTCACATGAGCTCTGCCAGCATCTCTCAACACTGCCTCAATGCTCTCTTTTTCTCTTCCTTCCTTTGTTTCTGTGTCTGAACACAGCTGAGTGCTGTCCTTTCAGGGCTACCTGTGATGTGGGTGCTTCCCCTTCCAGGGCCTTCTACCCCTCGAGCTCTGGTCTTTCACCCCCATGTCCATTCAGCACAAAATCTTTATTTCCCACCTGTTCTGTGTCAGGCTTTGTGCTGGGCCCCAAGGACACAGCAGTGAGCAGGACAGACACAGGCTCTGCTCTCAGATTCTGCCTTTCTTTTACTCTAAGCAGACAAAACAAAACAAAACAAAACAAAACAAAACAAAACAAAACACACACACAAACATGACAACCCCCCTTCTCATGGTGTCGCACCACTCTCCTTTGCTCTGTTAAACTTTGCTAGAGTATTTTCTGTCCTCATTCTTTTCACTGCCTTTTCTATGTTCACTCTTGGTAATTTGTCTTCTCCTTCCACCTCAACAACTTGTTCACCTCAAGGCTGCTGCTGTTCTTCCATTTATACACTCTGGAACACTCTAGCCCTTGACCCTGCTGAAGGACACCTGTTCTCATTGAGCTTGTATTCCAGTGCGGAGGAATACAGGAAATGCTTAATACAATTAGTAAATTCTATACAAAGTGTCTGGTCCTCAGTATTACACTATCTGAATTCTCCCTGTGAGAACTCAGGAACTGAAGAGATTTGGGTAAATTTTTGGATAAATCTCTTGGTCTATGAACTCTCCTTACATGGTATCCTAAACTGAGGAATCAGTTAGGTTTGGATAATATATTATACCTTCCTATTATCCCCCTTTTACTCTCTGAACTCTGAGACCGAATACATTTTTGGGGATCAAGGGATAGGGTGAATGGGGGTGTAAGCTAATGAGACAGAACTATATAAATAAAATACATCAGGGGAGGGGGTGCAGTAGGACTGTTGGGGGCTGGGATGGGGTCGTGGTTTCTCGTTGAGGGTGGCCATGGGGGTCTCAGTTGAGAAAGGCGATGTTTCGGTGATCAGCTGGCAGAGGCGAGGCAAGCAGGTATCTGGGGAGGAACACAGTAGGTCAAGTCGCTGTCATATTCCAAATCTCTGCCACCTCCTCTTCTGTTGTCATGTCACGTCTCTCTGACTGCAGCGGGGAAGGTTGGCCGGTATGAAGGAGCCGCCTCTGATCTAATCATGGTACTCCTCCCGTCTCAATGTCCTCAACCCCAGTCACCTCTACAAAGTCCCCTTAGCCGCTTCGGGTCACACACCCATAGGTTGCAGGCATCAGGGTGTGAACATCTTTGGAAGGCTGTTCTGCCTTCCACACATTCTCATTCCCAAGCCTTTTCAGTGGCTTTCTGTTTTCTCTCCTCCAAGATGTGATTCCCCTCCTGTCTTATCTTCCACTCATCCCCTTTTGTGGTCTAGGCTCCAGTCACATACTTTTCAACATTTTTCCTACTCTGTGTCCTTTTTTAATATATTGTTTCCTCTGGATAGAATGCCAGCCCTGCATTCCCTTTCCCTTCCTTCTTATTTACCTTTTCCTTATACCTAACTGTCAGTGGACCCACCTTTATACCAGCTACCCACAGCCACCCGGCACCAGCCAGTGAATTTACTGACTCTGCATTAGGTACTAGACATCGGGGATCCAGAAGTGAAGAAGATAAGGGCCCTGCCTTCGAGTAGCTAATAGTTAAGTGGGGGTAAGGAAAACACTGTGCTTAGAAGATTAATGGAAGCACAGGAGAGGGGGTCATTCTTAGACTTTTTGTGATCTGCCTTTCATTTGATATTCTTACTTTTGCTGTTAAAACCCCTTACCACCTGTTTGTACCTCCTGAGGCACTTAACCATATTGGGTCGTCTATTTTATTCAGTTGAATGTCTTATTCTGTAGAATGTAAGAGCTATGAGGAGAGCCTCCATGTCTCTCCATATCTCTTTATTCACTGTATCCCAGCCATCTAGAAGTGCCTGGCACCTAGAAGGTGCTCACTCAGTTTCACAGTTCATTTGAAATTTATTTGAATTCCCAGTATTACACTGTCAACTTTTTGAGTGCCTGCATTGTAGAGAGTTTGGATCTTTTGCAGTGCCAACCCGGTGACCTATATGTAAACTACTATGTTTCTGTCATTTTTTCTTTAACTTTTTCTGACCAGAAAACTTAGGCCATGGAGTTTTCAAGTACATGTCAGCAGTGTGCTGGCTCTTTGGGCGTAACCTGTATGACACATTGCATTATCCCATTGGGCTGATCTCCTCCTCGTGGGGTGGGACACCCATTGAAGCCTGGTCTTCTGGAAGGTCACTGAAAACCTGTGGTGTTCCTACACGAGGGTAAGAAATCATCCTGAAGTCTGGGAGAAAGCCTTGGAAATTATGTAAGACAGAAGGATCATGGTTTCCTTTGGGGAGCCAAATCTGTGTTAAATGTCCAAATATGTATTGAATGTATGTAACTTATTCTGTGAACATGTATGGTATTCTTTTTTTTTTTAAGTTTATTTATTTTTGAGAGAGAAAGAGCATGAGAGAGCGTGTGAATGAGTTGGGGAGGGGCAGGGAGAGAATCCCAAGCAGGTCCTGAGCTGTCAGCACAGGGCCTGATGTGGGCTTTTTACTCACAAGCTGTGAGATCATGACCTGAGCTGAAACCAAGAGTCAGACCCTTTACCAACTGAGCCACCCAGGTGCCACCGTAAGGTATTATTTTTATTGTCATCAGCACCACGATCATCTGAGAATATGTCAGGAAGCAATTATGATCCTTTTCCTTAATAATAGTGATAGCTAATACTTACTGAAGGCTTTCTCTTTGTTGGATACTGTTATCATCACTTTATATGTATGACTTCACTTAATACTCCCAACAACCTCTACAAGTGTAGATACTGTTAACATACTAAGCTACTAAGCTTAAGTCTCAGAGGGGTTTAGTAACTTGCTCATGGCTACAGCTGGTAAGTGGCAAAGTCTGGCTTCAATGTCTGTGCTCTTAACCACTGTGCTCTATTGTCCATGAGAATAAACACTGTAACATGAAGAACAAATATTCATGTAATCAAAGAGATGTATTAGTATATTGATTATGAAAGCACGATCAGGAAAAGCTGGATCAGGAAGAACACATGGGGTGGGGAAGAAAGGAATAGTTATTAAAATCCTGACACTAATATTAACACAGAGATTAATAGTCTGTGAACTGTTTTCATAAATATTATGTCATTAAATCTGGGAAGGGCCCTGGAGAGAGGCTGAACTTCAGCTCTTGGTATAGCTTAGGTAAAGTCATGCCTGTCGGGGAGGGAAGACCTTCCACTTTGGGACTGACAGAATGGCCTAGGTAGAGTGGGAGGGATCTAGATAGAGCCAGGCTTCCCAGGTCTCTGGGGACATGAAGGGATGCCATCAAGGGTGTGGGGAAGTGGGCATTCTCATCCACACCTCCCATGAGTATAAATTCATATACGTATTTTACAGAGAAGTTTAGGAACATGTTTAAAGCTTTGAAAAAAATGTGCCCTTTGACCCAGCAATGTCATTTCTGGGCACTTATCTTAAGGAAATAAGCCTATATGCAGTGATTTTAGCTATGAGGAAGATAAGCAAAAAGCTTAAAAAAATCCAAGTATGCATCAACTGAGTACTAGTTGAGTAAATTTATTGTCTGCATGAGACACTCACAAAAAAATACTCCTCTTCTCTGGTTTTAGTGACCTTATCTGGAAACTGGGATGGCCCCCTCTGAACTTGTACTGACTGATACATTTATCCTGGGAAGAACCTGGATAGATATGAAAGTTGGAGGCTATTCAACATGTTTTCATGGGAAACAGAGTGGTTCGGTCTAATCTTGTGTTGCTATCATCAGACGTTTACCCCAGATGAAAGTTGGATAGACACTCAGTTTAGGGACCATGATGTGATCGGTCACTAGCTCTCTGATGATACTTGTGCTTCTTATCAATTTTAGGTTCACTCAGTCTGATTCTGTAACCGGTCCCAGTAAGAACTCTGTTCTCTGGAATGCCATGATCCATCCACTACATAATATGACTCTGAAAGGGATGATATGGTACCAGGGTGAGTGTTAATTTGTTGTTTCTCCATTGTATTAGTTAGCTTTTGCTGTGTAACAAACCAGCCCAGGATTTAGGGACTTAAAACAATAATAGTTTTATTTGGCTCCCCATTTGGTGGGTTATTGGGGTAGTTTTCCTGTATTGACTACTTTGGTTAATTTCTTTGAGGATCTTTTATGTGTCTTTGGCCACCCGGCAGGTGTCTGGTGGCTGGATGGCCTCGGATGGCCTCTCCCTCCTGTCTGTTGACTGCTGGAGCACCCTGGTACTCAAGTGGTCCCTTATTCTTTAGCAAATTAGTTCGGATTCTTTATCATTTACACAGCAGCCTCAGGGTTGCAAGTATATCAAGAGAGAACAAACCCCAGAGCTGAAGCACTCTTCAAACCTCTGCTTGCATCATGTTTGCTGATGCCTCCTTGGCCAGAGCAAGTGACAAGGCCAGTCCAGAGAGACTGCAGGAAGACGCATTCCCTAAGGGCACGGGTAGAAGGTGGGGAGTAACGTGTGGCCATGTTTGCATCTACCCCAACCCCCTCTCATAATCTGGACTGTTTTTAGGGGAGTCCAATATAAATGTTAACAGGGACCTGTACAATTGCACATTCCCTGCGCTCATTGAAGACTGGCGTCAAGCCTTCCACCGTGGCTCCCAGGGGCAGACAGAGCGTTTCTTCCCATTTGGATTTGTCCAGGTATGTGTTGAGAGGAAGCAGGTTTTGGGTATTGGGGTGGGGGTGTCCTGTGGAGGTCTCTTTCCTGGAATCCATATTCCTTTTTTTGCCCTCATAGTCTGCTGGTCAAGAACTAACTGTAAGACTTAATTCATCTCAGTTCACTGATGGGACAATTACATCTTCAAAAAAAGTTAATAAGTAATTTTTATTTAACATTATTTTTTTAATGTTCATTTATTTTGAGAGGGACAGAGCACAAGTAGGGGAGGGGCAGGGAGAGAGGGAGACACAGAATCTGAAGCAGGCTCCAGGCTCCTAGCTATCAGCACAGAGCCGGACACAGGGCTTGAACTCATGAACCATGAGATCATGACCTGAGTGGAAGTTGGACGCTTAACCAACTAAGCCACCTAGGCGTCCCAGTAATATTTCTTATTAAAAAATGAACACATACATGTTCATTAAAGATATTTAAAAGATAAGCAAAAAAAAAAAAAAAAGCTAAAACATTTCCAATTGCACAATCCAGAATCTGTTCATGTATTTTCGCAGGAGGATCCATACCATAATACTGTACCATATCTTGCTGCTTCTCTCTCTCTCTCTTTTTAATGTTAATTTATTTTGAAAGAGATAAAAAGCAAGTATGGGAGGGTCAGAAGAGAGAGGGACAGAGAATCCCAAGCAGGCTGCATGCTATCAGCGCAGAGCCCCATGCGGGGCTCAAACATATGAACTGTGAGATCATGACCTGAGCCGAAATCAAGAGTCGGGCGCTTAACCCACTGAGCCACCCAGGCGCCCCTTGCTTCTTCTCTTCATATGTATTGCGAACATTTTTTCATGCCAATAAATATATTTTTAAGTTTATTTATTTATTTTGAGAGAGGGAAAGAGAGAGAGAGGGAGAGCATGCAGGGAGGGGCAGAGAGAGAGGGAGAGAGAGAATCCCAAGCAGGCTCTGCTGTGTCGGCACGAAGCCCGATGTGGGGCTCAAACCCACAAACCATGAGATCACGACCTGATCCAAAACCAAGAGTTGGGTGCTCAACCGACTGAGCCACCCAGACGCCCCTCATGCCAATGAATATTAATCTTGAGCACAATTTATAATGATTGCAGAATACTTTGATATATGGTTGTATTGCAGTTTATTTAACTAGTTCTCAAGAAATGGACCCTTCGGTTGCTTTAAACATGTTGCTTTTGTAAGCAGTGGTGCGTTGATTGTCCTTGTAGCTAAATCACTGCATGCGTGCTTAATTCTTTCCATAAGATAAATTCCCAGAAATGAAATTGCTGCATTAAATTGAACATTAATTTGAACGTGTCCTCAGGTTTCTCTGTAGAAATTTATGAATTTGTGTTCAGTGTGTACTCTTAGCAGCTATGTGTGTACTTGGCCGTGCCCTCCCTAACTTGGTGCTGTCCTTTCCAGCCCCTGTAGTGAACCTTGGTCTCTCACTCCCAGCCCACTGCCCCTGCTCTTTGCCTGGAGCACCCTTTCTCTCCTGCACTCTCCTGACCAACTTCATCCTTTAGATCTCAGCCTGGACATCAGTTAGGAAGCCTTCTGTGACTGTCCAGCATCTGGGGTGCACCACCTCCTTTCCCCCGATGGGTAATTTCTTAGCACCCTCTCCTTCCCCCATTTTCCTTGCATGTCAGTCGCACACGGCATCATGTTTTCCTGCATCACACTTGTATCTCAGGACCTAACTGGTCAGCAGTTATTAAATATGGTCTAACACATAAATGAAAAAATATATCAAGAGAAATCACACTTAAAAAAAATTTTTTTTCAAACGTTTATTTATTTTGGGGACAGAGAGAGACAGAGCGTGAACGGGGGAGGGGCAGAGAGAGAGGGAGACACAGAATCGGAAACAGGCTCCAGGCTCTGAGCCATCAGCCCAGAGCCCGACGCGGGGCTCGAACTCACGGACCGCGAGATCGTGACCTGGCTGAAGTCGGACGCTTAACCGACTGCGCCACCCAGGCGCCCCGAGAAATCACACTTTTAATTAGTGGCAACTAGACAGAAGGATTCTGCTCTCGTCCTCGCCTAAAAGGAATGACATATTTAACCAAGTTGTTGATGGCTTTGCCTTACCTGTTCAAATGACTCCTCCAAGACCTACACTCTTTAGCAGGGTGGTAAGCGGCGACTCTTCTGAAATACAGGAAATGAAACAAGTAAGGTGTTAGAAAAGCGGGGCCCAGCTCACAACATACTAATGGAACAGGCTTTAAGATTTGAATTGGACACATGCTTCCAGACGTCTGCCTCTGCATGTCCCGCAGATACCTTCTGCTCATCGTCCTCACGTGGCTTCTACCTTGTCTTATTGCACCACGCCTTTTCTTGGATGAGGACTTTTATGGACCTCCTTTCCACTTATACTGACTTTACAACCATTTTCTTTCTTCCTTCTTACCTTTGTTTTGACTTCAAAACCAGATTATTCTACTCATTATTGTCAAAATAGCCAGCCCTGTCAGCAGATCTGTATTTCTGGTGGTGGAAACTACATCTGGGCTTCTGAGGTTCTTTTTCATCTTTGCCGTGTAGATGGTGATTTGAATGTGACTCCAGCCAATTCAGACCGTGTGTTGTATGCTGCTTATATGCCGTGAACTGTGTGAGGTGCTAGAGATACAGTGCGAATCAGAGAGACCTGGTCATTGCCCTTAGGCCTTACTGTTTGGCAGGAGTCCCTCAGACTCGGGGCTTTAACTGATCACCATCGACAAAAATATGTTGGTTACTTTTGGAAAACTGGGAGCACAAACATTTACCTTTGAAGAGAAATAGCACATATGGCAAAATAATGGTTCAGCGCATGGATCTGCAGCTGGTCTGCGTGGATTCACATCTCAGCCCTGACGCTCCTTCGGCTCTGTGATTTTGAGCCAGATATTAAATAGGGAGATTATTATTTTAAGTATTGAATGAGCTAACTCATGTAAAGCCTGGCACATGCCAGATAATGTTCATCAGTGAGAGAAGTCAGAAAATCGGGGGTGGGGGGGACAGTTGGTCTGCAAGGAAAGATGAATTGGCTTTGTAGAGGTGTTGAATTTGAAGTGATGGTTGCAATAACTAAAGCACGGTTAGAGACGCAGGACTCAAGCTCAGCAGAATGCCCCGGGCCGGACACACGTATCTGAGAGTTGTTAGTAGTGAGGTGACCGGAAGCATGGGAGGGAAAGAAGACCAGGAGGCTAGGGAGTCCTGAGATGCTTTTTTACAGCGGGTGTGGAGCAACGGGAGTGAAGTGCAAAGTACATACAGTATGCTATTGTAAAGTCTTCTGAATGGGGCCCCTTTTATATTCTTTGGCTATTATATGCCTTCATTAGCGGTGGTATTTCTACTAATCGCAGTGGGAGACTGAACGGCACCCTAGCGGATCTCAGAGTAGGGAAAACAAGAATTTCATTTGGGTATGGAGTATGCTGGTGCCTCCATGTGGCCACTGTGTCATAGTGCAAGCGAGTCAAGTGCACCTGTCCAGTACAAGTGCGTGGTGAAACTGGAGAATTGCTGCAGAATTCTCCACAAACGGCCATTTGGAGACCACTTCCTTGGCTTGAGCGGCTGTGTAAGCATCTCTCGGTGTTGGGCCTCAGCCTCGTACTTACCCTAGACTCTTTCTGGTGGCTCTGCTGCTGTGATCCTCCTCATGGCACTGGCTGCCGAGCATGATTCCACTTTCGGTCTGTTGGGTGTTGTGTGGGAAGAAGCAGTGTTGCTCACTGGGTCTTCTCGTGAAATTCCATTGTGAAGCTTCAGCACCTTTTATCGTTTCATATGTGAAAGCAGATTTGCCGAGAGATAAGAGAACTGGAAATGTCCCCTTAATTCCAGATCACACCCCTTCTGCTGCTGTCGCAACCTCACCAGTGTTTTCCTGATGATTTTCTAGTCTTTCTGGAACAGGTCAAGAAGCAGAAAACTTCCTGTTTTCAAGCCTTCATTTGGCCACGTTTGTCCAGGATGATCTCAGGTATTTGCTGGCCATGGGAGTGAGAAGGCTGTGGGGAGCACTCTCTTCATCGTGTAGCTCCCCTGATGGGGACAGAAGATTTCAAACGGGGCCCAAAGACAGTGGTTGCTCGCCCAGGACGTTTGCCAGCATGTGGTTTGACTTACTGTTAGATCATGGTTTGTAAAAGAGGGATAATAGGTTGATGCCTCTCATTGCCTGGACTGTGGCTAAGAATAAGTTGCAGTCTACATCAGAGAACATGGTGATATAAATATCAGAGAATTAAGGAAGGAAGAAAGAGTGGGACCACATGCGTCATAGTAGTATTGGAGAATTTTTCTGGGAGTCTCTGTCCTTTGCAGGAGTAGGAGTCTATCAGTTTTTAAAAATTAAATTTTTTTTCTTTGAGAGAGAGGGAGAGACAAAGGTAGAGGGAAGGAGGGAGGGAGGGAGGGAGAGAGAGAGTGTGAGAGAGAGAGAGAGAGAGAGAGAAATTGAATCCTAAGCACGCTCTGTGCTCAATGCGGAGCCCAACACCAGACTCGATCCCACGACTCTGGCATCATGACCTGAGCCAAAATCGAGAATCCTATGCTCAATGGACTGAGCCACCCAGGCATTCCAGGAGTCTATCAATTTCAAGTTTAGATGAAAGTGTTTACTCAGTATGTTGCAGAGTCAGACAGCTTCTTACTACCTTTACTGCTCCTGCACTAGTGTAAGGTGCCATCATCTCTTCCTTGAAATATTGCCTCCTTACTGGTCTTCCTGCTTCTACCTTTCCACCCCCTTTAGGATATTCTCAACATTTCAGTTAAAGTGATCCTTTGAAATGCATGCCGTATCAGAAGGCTCCAGTGGTTCCTCCATATGAGTGAAGTCAACAAATGATGTCTGATCTGCCCCTACTTTTCTTTGCCTTGCTCACTCCACTTCAGCTATGCCGGCTGCCTTACTGTCTTTAAGCACACTAGGCTTACTCTGCCCTAGAGTCTGCCATTTCCCTTTCCTTCTGCCTGGAAAGTTTTTTCACAAGTATATTAGTTTTCTATTGTAGCGTAAAAAATCACTGCGTGTTTAGCCGCTTAAAATAATGTTACATACATTTGTTATCTTATGGTTTTATGGGTGAGGAGTCGGGGCATGCATGGCTTAGCTGAGTCCTCTGCTTGGGGCTGCGGTGAAGGTGTCGGACAGAGCTGGGGTCTCATCTGAGGCTTGGGTTTTCTTCCAAGCTCAGGTGGCTATTGGTAGAATTCATTTCCTTGAAGCTATAGAACTCATGGCAGCTGACTTCTCGAAGGCCAGTAGGAGTCTCTGACTTATGTACCCCATTTTAAAGGCTTATCTGAATTGGGCTCTCCACATACTCTTCTTTTGGTTTCTTTGAAGTCAGCTGATAGAGGACTTTACCTACATCTGCAGAATCCCAAGCAGATAATTAGGTGTTACAGATTCTGAAGGATGGATACTGTCTTTTCCCTGTATTCCATCCCGTATCCAAGGTGATTGCCTGCTTCTGTCAGTTTGTCTTTTAGGTTATCTTATTCCTGCCCATCCCATTCCTACTGCTATCCTAGGTCAGGCCTTTCTCTTATGTGTCTAGAATGTTCTAGTAGCTTCTGAACCAATCAGTCTCTGTTTTCGGGCTCTTCACAGGATCATTTGCATGATCACTAGATTAATCCTTTGAAATAGTCCTTTTATCATGCCAATAATTTCAGTGGCTCTCTAATTTCTTTTTTTTTAAATGTTTATTTTTGACAGAGAGAGAGAGAGAGAGAGAGAGAGAGAGAGCATGAGTGGGGGAGGGGCAGAGAGAGAGGGAGACACGGAATCTGAAGCAGGCTCCAGGCTCCAAGCTGTCAGCACAGAGCCTGACATGGGACTTGAACTCACGGACCGCGAGATCATGACCTGAGCCGAAGTCGGACGCTCAACTGACTGAGCCACCCAGGCACCCCGGCTCTCTAATTTCTGAATTGAGGTGAAATTCATATAATGTAAAATTAACCATTTTAAAGTATTCAGTTCAGCAGCATTTAGTACATTCACAGTGTCCTCCAGCTGTCACCTCTACAGTGATTCCCTGTTGCTTATAGGTAAAGTATGAATTCTATCCAAACTCTTGCCTCACTATCTTTCCAACGTTGTCTTTCCTACATAAACCCTCAAGTTCAGCTCAGTTACTCTCTCTTGCTCTCAAAATTGCCCTTTTACTTCCTACCTTTTTACATTATAAGATTCTAACATGTCCTATTAGTAGTGGTTGCTTATATTTTCTGGGCCCATCCATTTTTTCTTTTCTTTTCTTTTCTTTTCTTTTCTTTTCTTTTCTTTTCTTTTCTTTTCTCTTTTCTCTTTCTTTCTCTCTTTTTCTTTTCTTTTTCTTTTTTTACATATTTTGAGGCCATGTTTTCTTATAATAATAAACTTTGTTCTTATGCAGAGTACTTGCTGTCTTTGGCTCCAATATAACATTCAATCCATGCTATTTTATACTATTGTTTATTAACTTCTCTTTAAAGCATTTTTAAAAATGTGTATTTATTTTTAGAGAGACAGAGTGTGTGTGAGTAGGGGAGAGGCAGAGAGAGGGAGAGTGAGAGAATCCCAAGCAGACTCTGTGCTGTCAGCACAGAGCCCGATGCAGGGCTCCATCCCATGAACTGTGAGACCATGACCTGAGCTAAAATCAAGAGTTTATGCTCAACCGACTGAGTCACCCGGGCACCCCTTGTTTATTAACATTTCTTATGTCTAGGTCTGTTCCACCAACAAAGCTGTGAAGTACTTGTGCTGGTTAGCTACTGCTGTGTAACAGATCTCCTCAAAACTCCATGGCTTAAGATAACTATTACTATAGCTCATGTGTGGATAGCTGGGGTTTGGTTGATCTTGGCTGAGCTCCACTGAACTCTTTCATATCTCTGTGGGTCAGTGGCAGGGATGGGGCCGAGTGGGGTGGGGGCTCTGCTTTCTCCTGGGTATGGTTGGCATGGGTCAGAAGAGGCAGCTCTGTTCCACAGCTCTCCTCCTTCTCCAGAGAGCCATAGGCTAGCCTAGGCATGTCCTTGTCATGGTGACAGCAGAAATGTGAAGGAGCCAATGGGACCACTCAGGTCTCTTGGGCCCTAGGCTAAGAACTGACACACCATAACTTGTGTTTCAATCTGTTGACCAAAGCGAACCATATGACTGAGCTCAGAAAGTGGTAGGGAAATACACTTTGTTTTTTTAAGTTTATTTATTTTGAGAGACAGAGCAAGCAGGGGAGGGGCAGAGAGAGAGGGAGAGAGAGAGAGAATCCCTAGCAGGCTCTCTACTGTCAGCATGGAGCCCGAAGTGGGGCTTAAACTCACGAACCGTGAACTCATGACCTGAGCTGAAATCGAGAGTCAGATGCTTAACCGACTGAGCCAGTCAGGTGCCCCTATACTCGTTTTCTTAGTGGGAGAAACCACAAAACCATATGGAAAGAGGCTGTGGATATAGGAAAATGTGAAGAATTGGGGTCTTTGATGCAATTTACCACATGTTCTTGGCAGATTCCTCTCTGCTTCCCTACAGCACTTGACCATGTTAAATACAGATGTATCAGTTACCTGTTGCTTTGTAACAAACTTCCCCCAAACTTAGTGGTTGTAAAACATCAGCCATTGTATTTGCTCATGATGCTCATGATTCCATGAGTCAGCCAGGCAGAGCTCAACTGGGATGGTTCATCTCTGCTCTAGGAGATGCCAGCCAGTCTTGCTCATGTGGCTTTAATTTGAACTGGAGCCTCTAGCGTTCACATGACTGGCCTCTTGGCTGGGACTGCTGGGACAATAACCCCTTTCTCCCCTAAGGGTCTTCCTGTTTCCAGGGTCCCCTTCTCCATGTAATTTCTCCAGCAGGGTAGCTGGGCTCTCTTTACATGGCCATCTCCAAGTTCCAAGAGAATGAAACCAGAAGCTAAGGGCCATTGAGGCAATGACTCAGAAGCTGCACATCACTTCCCCTGCATCCTGTTGGTCAGAGAAAATCACAGGCTTCTCCCAGATTCAGTAAGAGGAGAAATCGACTCCACCTCTTGATGAGAACAGGGCACAGATACACTGTGTGGGGTGAGGGGAATTGAGCCACAACAGTAAGACACTCAGTAAATATTTGTTGAATGGTATTTGAACAGATTAATGAAGCAGAAGCAGGGTCTATATATGAAAAAAAGACTCTGGTGTAGGATTCTGATGCAGTAAAATTCTGATGCAACATTCTCTACTTTCCAGTTATCTTCATATTTGTCTGCAACCTCAGATGATAAATTTCCCCAGATCCGTTGGCATCAAACAGCAGACTTTGGCTATGTCCCCAACGTGAGGATGCCCAACACTTTCATGGCAGTAGCAATGGATCTCTGTGATAGGACGTCCCCTTATGGCAGGTATGGGTGCTTCTTGGGCTTTGCTTGAACAATAATCTATGTTCTTTGTCTGTGGCCTTCATTCTGATGTTCACTTGTGAGGGGCAGAGAGTGGGTGTTATGAGGATTGGACCTTCGGAGCCTTATCTATCATTTACACTGGGGATGTGCTGCAGTAACTCAACATCTCAGCGCCCTGATGAGACAACATTTTATTTCCTGTTCACAATACATGTCCAAAGAAGGTCAACAGAGAGGCTTTGCTCGTTATAGTCATTCACAGATGTAGAGTGATGGAGGTTCCAAGTTGATCTGGGCTCCTGGTCACCTTAAAGTCTCACACTGGCAATGAAAGTAATGCATGTTATTTCTACTCACATTGCATTGGCTCAGAGCAGGTAATATGGCCATGCCTGGCTTCAGCGAGAGCAGGCACGGAATTCTTCCATCAACTCAGAGGAGGAATAAAGGGATATCTGTGAACGGCTCCAATGACTACCACACGCTTGCTGTGGGATACAAGGGGATTTGAAATATGAAATGGGGCCCACACAGTGTCTGGTTTATAGTGAGAACTTAAATGAATATTTATTTTTGGACCAATGAATATTTATTGATTGTCCTATCTGAACCTGGAGGGTTTTATTCATTGAACATGTGAACACCTGATTCAGATGAAACGCAGGACTGCCAGTGGTTGGAGTAAGTTTAAGTTAGCTCTCCTAGGTTAGTTCCAGTGCCTTTCCTCTGTCACTCAGGGACCTGTATTCCTTCCTTCCAAGTCATCTGCTATTTCAAGGTTTCTAACCCATAGGATGCCCGGAGCCCCATTATGGTTACTGTTCACCATGTCTCTTAAGCTGACGAGCCATTGACCTGTTAGATTCAGTCAACTTTGTTCTTACCTTCCTAAAGGGTGCTTTGTATAATCCTTCCCCGCCCCGGGCGCGGGGGCCGGCCCCGGTGTGAGATGTGGCTATTGTTCAGTGAAAACCCAAAGTTCTCTGCCTGTTCTTTATCCGTAGCATCCACCCTCGAGATAAACAGACTGTGGCCTACAGGCTGCACCTGGGGGCCCGGGCTGTGGCCTATGGTGAGAAACTGATCTTTCAAGGACCACTGCCTGAGAAGATGGAACTCCTGGCTGACAGGGGGCTGCTAAACCTCACATATTCACAGCAAATCCAGGTGAAGAAGCAGGACAAAATATTTGAGGTGAGAATAGCCAGAACTTAATAGGGGTTCATCCTGGGTTGGGAGTCAGGATTTCTCCACACTGAGGCCCATCATCTCTTTAATTGTAACATTTCTGTGAAGGGGATCTTGGTTTTTGGCGGGGCTGAGTTTATCTCAGAGGGGTGACTAAGTAGCTATTAATTCTTTAACTTAGGGGCAATTTTGATAGGACAATCAAGGGAAGGAAAATGAATCTACATTAAAATATTCCTTTTGTTTTTTCGCTCCCAGAGCATCCATCTTTGCTCTGGCAAGGGCCTGCAGCTTTATTTGTAGGTTACCTTTGGAAGATTCCTTATTCCAGAGTGTTTCCCTCATCTTGGATGTCTTTTTATGTCACAGTATCGCAAATTCTGATAGTCTTTTGAGTTTAGTGTTTCCTTTGAGAGGCTTAGCTTGGGAATTTGTAGCTCATTGTAAATTAATGTAATGAAACTACTTTCTTCTAGCACGTAGCGAGGATCATTCCACTGTGGAACTAGGGCTAATAATTAAAGAGCTTATGTAGTCCTTCTTCCCTAGTTGGGGGTGGGGGTGAGGCATTCCTATTGGAACATGCAAATGAGCTTCTTTGGGAACCAGGAGGCCATTAGGCTGGTTGGAGGGGGTTGCTGTATGAAAAGAGGGCACTGGAGGGAATGAAAGAATATTAAAGACAGACTTTAATTACACGGGTTTATCCTTGCTCCTCCTCTAGAGTCCTAACTACAACATTCACAGGCCTCAGGGCAGCGCTTGCCCCACTGAGCTTCTTTGGACACTGGGTTTTAGGTAGTTCTAGCTCCCCAGACGTCTGCGTTCTGACTTCAGTTCTCCCATGGCAGAACGGCCTGTCACCTGGACCCAGAATCATAGTGGGGAGCAGGACAGAATTTAACCTGGGGTACTGAAAACTTCATGTCCCCTTCCTTGGATTGCTTTCTGGTTTGAGAAAGGCTCTCTGTCCAAGGTTCCTTTGTGCCCCTTGTTCGTCGTCCCCGGCCCCTTCGGGAGTGCTGGAGTTGTAGCAGCAGCTGGACTGCCCCGCTCCCTCACTTCCTGCCTGCTATGCTGTCTGGTCGGAAGGCTCACAGCAAGGAGGTTCAGGGGAGCCCTCTCTAAATGCTCTTTGTGATTATGTTTCCTTGTCTCCCTCAGTAATTTAATATTTTTTTAAAAATTGATTTATTTTGTCACAGGAACATTCATTATCACACCAACCTGGGTTTGGGTTTGTTCTGGTTATTGTAGGAAGTGGATCCTGGGCCAAGAGTGGCTCCTTCTGTCCCTTGTGGTCTCTTGGAGTATCCTAACTGACCTAACCGTTCCTATTTTTCTGATTCTCTTACTAGATCTCATGTTGCAGTGACCGTCAGTGCAAGTGGCTCCCAGCTCCCATGGGCACTTTCTCAGCCCAGACCCTGGCCCTGAATGTCAGTTCTTGTCGCGGCACTCCGGCTGCTGTTCGCTATGCCTGGACCACGTGGCCTTGTGAATATAAGCGGTGCCCCCTGTACCACCCCAGCAGCACCCTGCCGGCTCCTCCCTTCATCGCTTTCATGACAGACCAGATCCCTGGAGATCTCAGCAAGCTTGCTAAATGATTTAGCGGCATTGCGATCATTACCTTGGACATAAGTGTGCGTCCTTTCGATGTGGGCATTTAGCTGTTGAAGTGATGACAGCTATAGCTTTTAAAGGCAACTAATAGAAAAGCCGCACTGGACAGCTCTCAGCTAGCACTTGGCTGTGTCCGTGTTCTGAATAGGCGATGAGCAGCGCTGGCAGGCTAATGAGATGCTTGCCTCTTGTCCCCTAGTCAGCCTAGGTGTCTTGCCAGACTAATTCCCAACTACAAATGGAACTTCAGTGTCCTTCACTTCCCTGTGGAGAGTGCAGTGTCTAACACTTTTGTCTACTTATATCCAGAACCGTGGAAACTCGTGGCTGGAAAGGGTTTGAGGGCCATGTGGGCCAGCTCCTATTTATGTCTTCTTTACAAAATCTGGTAAGTGGTTACTGAATCTCTGTATAAAGTTTCTAAACTTCCCAACAGTTTTTTCTTATGTGGAGATGAACTCTTTCTAGGCCTGTTTGTGTTCTGCCTTAAGCCAAAGCCAGTTCTGTTCCTTTCAGTCTAATAACAATAACGTGAATGTTTGAAACCAACAGGAACTGTGTGCGTGCATCTGGGGAGGTGCGAAGGGGCTGCTTTAAGGAATGAGGAGAAAGGGTGAGGTGGCGGCGGCCCAGGAAGGCACTCAGGCAGTCAGTGACGGGTGGGGGAAACACGGGCTCAGGAAAACATGGCAGTAGAGGTCACGGACAGGCAAACAGGTTAAATACAAATCTCAGCCTTTCTAAGGTAAGAGGTTTACCTCTAAAAAGGATAACCCAGATGGAAGAAAAAAGAGGCTGAAAATAAAGCTACACAATAAGCATTTAGAAAAATAATCCAGATGGGACAAATGTGAAAGTGGGCTTCTGTGACTGTTAAGAATCCTAATGCAAAAAGAAAAAAACCAAAAAACATAGCACTACTGCTTATTGGTTGATTAAAAACAGCTAAGGGCACTTGGTAATTGTGTCCTCTATTAGAATTTGGAAATAAAAGTATAATCATTAGTGACGTGTAAACATTTATAGCCCACCAAAACTGGGTTAGGAACGGTAAATGTGCTTTGAAGCATGAGGAAGGAGGAAGATTTATTTGAGTAGCTTCCACTCCCTTAATGGGAAAAATAAGAACTAGAGTAATAAGCACCTGACCCCAAGGGGTCCTGGTGTAGCGCTGAACAGCAGGAATAGCTGTCAGTGTCAGGATTTATTTTAGTAAGAAAACAAAACAACTATGCAGTATACAAAGAACTTTGGCTCCTCTGAGGACTTCCTAGTGTACAATTAACTCCTAACACCCATACTTTGACCTCATATGCCTCTGGCCTAAGGGGAACCAGGGACCTGGGAACAGACTCCTGAGAAATAAATCTCCGGGTCCACCCCTCCCCTGTGCCAACACACATTCACTCATGGGCTGTCCTAACTTGTAGGCAGCTGGACATGGTCAGGAACCCCATACCCAGGCTCCTTTCGTAGTGCACACAGTGGGAGATACTAGGTTTAGGTAGTGGATATACTAATGAAAAGTCATGTGAAACTTTAAAATTTTTTTTAATGTTCATTTATTTTTGAGAGACAGAGACAGCGCGAGCAGGGGAGAGGCAGAGAGAGGGGGAGACACAGAATCTGAAGCAGGCTCCAGGCTCTGAGCTGTCAGCACAGAGCCTGATGTGGGGCTCGAACTCACGAACTGCGAGATCATAACCTGAGCCGAAGTCGGACACCAGACCGACTAAGCCACCCAGGCACCCTGTGAAACTTTATTTTTAATGGCTGAATGCTTTTAAACATTCTGTGGAAATTCAGTTAATTTCCCAAGTGAAAATAACTTTTTAGTATTTGTAAAATGAAATTTATAACTATTGTAGATTTGGACACAAACAAAAAGAAGAAACAAGTAAAAATCACCCCAAAATCCACCATTTGGCAAAAAACATTTAATATTTTGGTAAACATTCAGTTGATTTGCTTGGGTTATATTTTATACACTACATGTCATACTATTTCGTAATCTGTTTTTGGCTTATTCTAGTAAAATAATTTTCCTATGTAAATTGAATATAGTGTTTTAGTTTGTGGGAGCCCCATACTTTATTTAACCAATTTTTCCATTAGTGGACACAGATTTTTTTTTTCCAATTTTTCCGTTAAAACGAATACAGTGATGAATGTTACATGCAAACATCATACTGTACTTTCTTCCTTAGGATCCTTAATGTGAAATAACAATTTTAAGGATTAAACATGTTTAAAAGTTTGATACCTGCAGCTTAACTCTCCTGAAGGGTCCAACAGTTTACATTCGCACCAAGGCACAGTGCCATTTACGCTCTCCCACTGACACTGGATAGTGTCAGATTTCACTCTTAACCAATAGATGAAAAGACGTTTTAAGTATACTGGGGTGGAGGGAGGCTCGTTTTTTTTTTTTTAAAGAGTTTTTTTTTTAACGTTTATTTATTTTTGAGACAGAGAGAGACAGCATGAACGGGGGAGGGGCAGAGAGAAAGGGAGACACAGAATCGGAAGCAGGCTCCAGGCTCTGAGCCATCAGCCCAGAGCCCGACATGGGGCTCGAACTCACGGACCGTGAGATCGTGACCTGAGCTGAAGTGGGGCGCTCAACCGACTGAGCCACCCAGGCGCCCCGAGGCTCAAGTTTTTAAAAAGGATGATCTGTAGTAAAACATTTTACCTTTATTCCATGTACTCCCTTCATGTGTGTACATGTGATTTTTATATAAATACATACATATATTCTACAGTTGAAACCCAAATTTCAATTTTTGACATGTGATGCATTCTATTAAGTTATAATTGTTTTAATTTTAACAGGTGTAGGTCTTACCTCCCTAAGTTTAGGGACAACTGATGGGTTGAGATCTGTACTTTGAAAATTACTCTTCTAGAAAAGCTACAAAGTAAATACTCTTATTAAAGCAAGCAGTGCAATAACTTAAAAAGATCTTAATCTTTCTTAAAATGAGGTTCTCTTGTATGTGTTTTACTCAGAATGTAATACAATGGAAAGATATTTGCTCTATGGTAAAAGCAGCATATATCATTTCTGTAGGAGTGCACATATGTCCAGCCAACGTGTGCAGTGAAGAAAGAAAAACATTAAAGCATGAACAGCTTTGAGTAATCCCCCTTTTATCCCAGGTTTGGTGTTATCCTAATTTTATTTTTTTGTACTGTAAAAGCTGCACAAACTTATAGAGACCAGAGTTAAGAGCCATACAATTACTAGCAGTTAACTTTCGTTTCTGATACTTCTGCTGCCCATCTGTTCCTAGGAAACAAACCCCTTCGTGTTGTCCCTGGTCAGCAGCTACGAACTGCAGCACAGTGACAACTGACACTCCTTCCTCGTTCTCCTTCTGGGGTCCTTCTGTTGCTTCCTTCCAGCTGTCCCGGTCCCTGGTTGGACGGACAGCAGGGCCTCCCATGCGGTACTGCTGGGGTCCAGATGGGGTGACGCGGTAAACCTGTACCTTAGTGGCACGGGCAGGGTCCAACACATTCGGTTGCACAAAATACAGAGTCAAGTTATTAAAGAGCTAGTGAAGTGACTGGGTGAGCCTGTGAGGGAGGGTGGGAGCGCCCCTGCCCTCCCGGCATGTTGTATCTGTGCCATCATGTGGATTCAACGTATTCAGCTACAAGCACATTCTCGGGTAAGGAACGGCAAAGAGCCGGTAGGAAGGATTACAGAGGACTTTTGGTTTCCCTTGAAGGATATGAAGTGTGAAGAAAAAGATGAACGGCGTGCCTTGGGCCAGCCTCTCTGGCTTGGGGAGAAGCAGACTGGACTGTGATCGTCCAGACATGGAAATGAAGCAGCTGCTGGGGTAGCAGGGGCTGGGCCTTCATTCCTGGAGCTAGGATCAGAATCCAGGTGGAAGGCTGGGACTCCTCCCACCTCTCCCTCCTGAGTCTGCAGCCTGTTTTCATTCCGGCTTATAGAACACTTAGGTTTGCTCTACCACTTCGGGCAGAGCTAAGCAAAAAAAAAAAAAAAAAAAAAAAAAAAAGAAAAAAAGAAAGGAAAAAAATCCTGATCACAATGAGATGAAAATAAGCAGATTTGTAAAGAGAAATTTATTGCTAAAAATAAAGCAGCTGCAGTTTTTCCAAGGGAACACTGTCACCACAGGAACCTCTGTAACAAAATGTGTATCTCCTTCGTTCCTGAACTGCTGCCTTCTTCCATAGTCTAAGTTTTACTTTAAGTTAAATGATGTGGCATCTGACCCCTTCCTGATCAATCTGAAGACTGAGTTGGGCTACACTGGGACAGAGACTTCAGGTGCTGTAGGTGAGTGTCTACCAGGGGTTCATGCGTCAGGAACATGGGTTGGTAAGAAGACACGAAGGCTGTGGGCTGAAGCTCTGGAAGGTCCAAGGATCCTGGAGAAGAAAATTCCTTCAGTTCCATTGCTGCCTGGGAGTCTCAAGGGACTGATCCCACACGTGAATGTCCTTTCAGTACCTAACACTCTTGCCCGTCAGCCTAATTTTGCCCTTGCTTGGTAAGATAGGACAGAAATTGACTTTTACAACAAAGAAAACTGTGGCCAAAATAGATTGTTTTGTCTAGGGTTATATAGTATACAGACAAAAAGTGAGGATTTTAATTCTATGATTTCTAGTCCAGAGCTCTGCCTATGTGACCCAACGCCAGATCCCCTGAGAGCTCCACCCATCTGTGGGAGGGAACCCACCCAACACAGGCAGGACCAAGGCCATCATCTGCTCCCCTTCACTTCACATGAAATTCTTGTCCTGAGCAGTCAACTTTCCCCTGCAGTTCTGCTTGGGTCTGTTTTAGGTGGGAAAATGAGAAAGCCTGGTTTCCCTGTGGGCCCTGCCTCACTGTGATGGCAGCCGCTCCCTGTCACCCCTGCAAGTGCTGCTGGAGAGCCCTGCAGGGCAGCCCATCCTCATACTTGGGAGTCTCCGTGGTCCCGGCAGCGTAAGTTTCTATCACTTACTGCCCAGCTCTCTGGAGTACTCCGCTACCCATGAGAAGCAGACAGCAGTCTAAAAATAGTCAATTTTCAAACCGGGAAGGGAAAACTAAGCTACCTTGCAGAATGGGATCAGTACGATCTTCATCAAAGGCCTGTCTCTGAAAGGCTTCAAAGCTTATACTTGCATCATCCTCTGGCGGTCCCTGGGGCGGCTGCCCATCTCCAGGTTTCCATATATCAAACTTCACCCACTGGTAACTGCAGGATCAAAGGGCATCGTTATCAAGAGCTGTCTGTTAGCCACAATAACCCATTCTTACTTCCAAAGAGATCAGGTATGTTTTTTCTGTAATCTTTCCCATATGTATCTAAGAATCACATTAATGAAAACACTAAGAGAAGATAGGCACATTTAGTGACACATTATCCTGCAGGATTTCCCAACCCTTTTGCTGTCATGGTACACACAGAAAATGATAATTCTAGTACAGTGGGGTACTGCCTTCTGCCCCCTGTCCAGAGGGCTAGGAGGACCAATACTGAGGCACACAAAGGAGCAAGCCTGCTTTGAAGACAGCAGCAGAACACAGCGTAACAACGAGCAAAGCAGTAACTTACTTGATACATTTTCGAGCTCCTGGACAACTCTGGATCAAGTTGTGAATAGTTGGGTGAGAAAACCCAAAAAAGTCAGCTCCAGATGGAAGCAGGTTGGGCATTAGTTTCCCCCTAAATAGGAGAGGGAGGATGGTAGTTTCAAAGTTTAGAGGGAGATGAGAATGGCTTTAGGAATGGAATGGGGGTGTGAATGCAGAGAACAAACTTTCTTGACTTGGATACTCTGGAGAAATCCATTGGATTTCTGGTAAAAAATCTAAACGATGCAGGATACCTTTCTATAAAATTAGGGATCTCCATACATTAAAAGCAAGGAAAATCTCATTGTACCACAAGTGACCTATTTAGATGGTCTTCAAGCTTCAACTTACATAGTAATACTTATGGTCTTGAGCAGTTCTGCATGACAGGCATCTGCAGAAGAGGTGACAATGGCATTCTGGGGGTCATCTTCGGGAACAATTTCAAACTGAGAAAGATAAAGGAGCAATGAGATCAACTTTGAAAGAGGGGACAGTAGAGAGAAAGCCACACTACTTCTATAACTATTTCTTCACTCTTGCACTTGAAGCTGATGTATATGATATTAGAAGGTGGGTCCAATTTCCTAGAGTGCCGTTACAAATTCAAACAAATCCAAGAAAACACAGAGAGTCCTTTAACTGTTTCAGTTCTAAACACCTTGTGACTGCTCTCCACAAGTCCACACTTAATTTGTTACACACCTTTCCTATCCACTTACTTACATCTATAAGTACAAATACAAATGGTACTTTAAAAATACATGAACAATAGGGGGCGCCTGGGTGGCTCAGTCGGTTAAGCGTCCAACTTTAGCTCAGGTTATGATCTCATGGTCCGTGGGTTTGAGCCCCGCATCAGGCCCTGTGCTGACAGCTCAGAACCTGGCGCCTGCTTAAGATTCTGTGTCTCCCTCTCTCTCTGCCCCTTCCCTGCTCATGCTTTCTCTCTCTCAAAAATGAATAAAAAATTTTTAGCAAAATTAAAAGAAAAATTAACATGAACAATATACAAATTATGGAAAGAGTTTAAACGTTCATCAACTGATGAACGGATAAAGATGTGGTTTATATATAAAATGGAATACTACTTGACAATGAGAAACAATGCAATCCTGCCATTTGCAGCAATGTGGATGGAACTGGAAAGTATTATGCTGAGTGAAATAAGCCAGTCAGAGAAAGACAGATACCATGTTTTCACTCGTATGTAGATCTTGAGAAAATTAACAGAAGACCATAGAGGAAGGGAAGGGGGGGGAAATAGTTACAAACAGAGAGGGAGGGAGGCAAACCATAAGAGATTCTTAAATACAGAGAACGAACTGAGGGTTGATGTGGGGGCGGGGGGAGGAGAGAGGGGAAAATGGGTGATGGGCACTGAGGAGGGCACTTGTTGGGATGAGCACTGGGTGTTGTACGTAAGCCATGAACCACGGGAATCTACCCCCAAAACCAAGAACACACTTTACACACTGTATGTTAGTCATTTTGATAGTAAATTATATTTAAAAAATAAACAAAAATACATGAGATCAAATAAGATAATCTTATATTTACTTTATAATATCTAGGAGGAATAAGGCCATTCTGACTCCAAGCCCCATTTTTTAAATTGCAAAATATCTTGACTATATACATAAAAAATAACCCTCAACTCGAAATTCTACTAATACTGAAGAATTTTTGCCAAGAAAGTATTTTTGTAATAAATACTATCTAGCCAACTTAATTCCTTGGCCAGTTTTCTCTAAGTTCAATGAATTTTTGCATAGAAAATACTTAGCCAATTAAATTCCCTGACTAGTGTTCTTTTCATAAAGTTCAGTTAAACAGTATCCATTTTTCCAAAGAAGACCTAAGATGGCTAACAGACGCAAGAAAAGATGCTCAATATCACTCATCATCAGGGAAATACAAATCAAAACTACAGTGAGCTATCACCTCACATCTGTAAGAATGGCCAAATTTAACAACACAGGAAACAACAGGTGTTGGTGAGGATGTGGAGAAAGGGAAACCTTAACACTGCTGGTGGGAATGCACACTGATGCAGCCACTCTGGAAAACGGTATGGAGGTTCCTCAAAAAATTAAAAATAGAACTACCCTACAACCCAGCAATTGCACTACTAGGTATTTATCCAAAGGATACAAAAATACTGAAGAGGCACATGCACCCCGATGCTTCTGGAAAGAGCCAAATGTCGTCCATTGGCTGATGAATGGATAAAGAAGATGTGGTAGATACACACCGTGGAATACTACTCAGCCATCGAAAGAATGCAATCTTGCCATTTGCAACACGGAGCTACAGTGTATTTTGCTAAGCGAAGTAAGTCCATCAGAGAAAGACAAAAACCATATGATTTCACTAATGTGTGGAATTTAAGAAACAAAACAGATGAACATAGGGGAAAGAAAAAGTGGCAAACCATAAAACAGACTCTTAATTCTAGAAAATTGAGGGTTGCTAGAGGGAACATGGGTGGGAGATGGGTTAAATGCAGGATGGGTATTTAGGAGGGCACTTATATGCATGTGATGGAATCACTAAATTCTACTCCTGAAACCAATAGTACACTGTGTGTTAGCTAACTAGAATTTAAATAAAAACTTAAAAACCAAAACAGTATCCTGTTTTTCAATGTACCTTAATAAAATTATCCCAAACAGGATTTACTTATTTTCTGTATACTTTCAAAGAATAATGTGATTAATCATTTTTTAGAATCCAAAATATACTTTACTGAGTATGGCTTCTCCTGCTGTTAGTTTTCTTCTGCAGTTATTACTTCAATTTTACTGTATCAAATTTTAGAGCTCTTTTATTTTTGTCAATAATAATTATCTTGTAGTTTTAGTCAGTGGTTTTGTTACTTCAACTAATGACATATGTTGCAAATTTAAGATACTGAGGGTTTATATTTATTTCTCAGCTAATTTATGGAAAAAACTGTGAGCAATTATCTTCAAATATTCCAGGACTGCTCTCTTTTTGGTACTGGTCATGTCAATTCCAATCTTTTTTTTTTTTTTTTTTAATTTAGTTTGAAAGAGAGATAGACAGTGAGTGGGGGAGGGGCAGACAGAGAGGGAGACAGAGAATCCCAAGCAGGCTCACTGTCAGCACAGAGCCTGATCTCACAAACCATGAGATCATGACCTGAGCTGAAATCGAGTCAGTCCCATGCTTAACTGACTGAGTTCCCCAGGCACCCCAAATTCCAATCTTTTATACTGTGTGCACACTATTCTATTTTGCACAAAGAGCAATTAAAAGGCCAAAATCTCATATTTTGGTCTCGCAGAGCTTTCCCTGTTAGTATGTGTAACTGTACTTCATTCTTTTAACTGCTACATAATATGACGTAAGGTGGATAAATCTTAATTTTTAACCATTCTCCTCCTTAGAGGCATTTCA